TTGGGAGCCATGGCTGGGACGGGTAGGGGGGTTAATATTAATTATTATTTTTTTTTTTTCATTTTTCACTCCTCGAGGCACTCAGCACATGCAGAGCGTCGGGAGACTGCCCGACGGCTTGCGATGCTCTGCTTAACTGCCAGGTGCCATGTGGTGCAACCCGGGAATTGATCACTCCAGGGGTACTCTCCAGGTGCCCGGCAGAAATGAGAGGTATCGCAAGATGCCTCGATATCGAGGCATCACTGCAATACTATCAAAGCGGCTGGAAGTGATCACGATCGCTTCCAGCGCTCAAAATAGCCAACGTTTTAGATACGTCCACTGTCTTTATGGACCATTTTTTGGTCGGGATGGGGTTAAATCGGCAATTCCAAACAAGGGATGGCTCCCAAAAATCAAGAGAGCCATCTACTAAACCAGAGGTTCTCAAACCAGTCCTCAAGGACCCCCTGCCAGTCCAGGATTTAGGGATTACCTGGGTGTGTCTAAGGTGTTTAGAAAAAAAAAATAATAAACACCTTAGACACACCCAGGTAATCCCTAAATCCTGGACTGGTAGGGGGTCCTTGAGGACTGGGTTGAGAACCCCTGTACTAAACAGTGCCGAAACTTGGTATCCTAAATAGTGGAACCCCACATCCAGGTACCAAATTAGGGAATCAATCTTTTAGTAAACAATAACTGTTAACCCTTTAACCCCTTAAGGACACAGCTTCAGAAGCTTGACTTACGCTTAATGACACAAGCAATTTTTGCATTTTCTTGCTGTTTGCGTTCAACTGCAATTTGCATCTCTCTCATTTATTGCACCGACACATATTATATACTGTTTTTTAAAGGACAGAAAGGGTTTTAATTTGATATAACATATATATATATAAATGCTTACTTATTATAAAAAAAATACAGAAAAATGCAAAAAAAAATGAAAAATATTGTTTTTTTTTACAGTTTTTGCAATAATAATGTGTGCATAATTAGTGCAGGTTAAGGAAAGTAATTAAAAATAAATTTATTTATTTGTTCTGATTTACAGAATATATAATGTGTCTGGGATTTTAAGTTTTTTTTGGTAGTTACAGGTCACAAAGCACAAGGAGTAAAATAAAATTTTAATGTGGAGCGATTTTAGAATTTGGTATGTTTGTCTTGTAAGCTTAATAGCCATAAAAGAAAACAAAATTGCTACACAAAAGTATATATTTATATAAAGTAGACATCACGGGCTATTTACCTAAGGTTGTTTTGACACTTTCTACGTAGCCATTTCACCGCCAACCTCTGCTAAATATTGGAGTAAAATTGTGTTCTTTTTGGTTTTTGGCACACAAACTTATAACAGAGAAATTCTCGTGTATATTTTGTAAAGTTGGTGTGTGCTATTCCTGTACAAAGTTTTATTTTGTGTTCAGTTACATCTGCTGAGTAAAATGACACCCCCATTGTATGTCTTTTGCACTATTTCGTGAAGTTACAGTGCCATACAGGATACCTGTCCTTTTCAGTATTCACAGTAGAATTTTGAGAGATGAATTTAATGAGCCTTAGCTTCCATTTGGGGTATTATAACAGTTTGACTGTTCAAAAAAACCCCACAAAGGCCTACCATTTGTAAAAGTAGACACTCCAGGGTATCTCATAAGGTGCATATTGTGCCTTAACATACCCCCATTTTTTCACCAATATATGCCAAAGTATGTGGTAAAAAATTATTTTGTGCATTTTTTACATACGGATTGCATTTTTGCTGGGCGTTTTGTATATTTCATATGTGCCACTAAGTTCAAACCTCCCAAATTATGCTCAGCTAAGTCTTTTGAGTAAAAATACACCCCCAATGAATGTCTTTGTCACTATTTTGTGAAGCTACAGTGCCATATAGGAGACCAAGCCATATCCGTTTTTACCAAACTTTGAATTTTGACGCTGGGCCTATGTGCAATTTCCAAGCATCTTTGCAGGTTTTAAATTCAATCTACCCCACAAAGGCCTACCATTTCTTAAAGTAGACACCCCAGGGTGTTTCAAAAGGTATAGTTTGAACCTTAGCGTGGGATCATTTTTCCGCTAGCTTGTACCAGATGTAGTGGTAATAAGCGTTTTTTCTGCCTTTTTGACATACAAAGTGAGTTTGCACAGTATATTTTGCAAACCTTATGTGTGCTACGACTGTATAATACTTCATATGTTGCTCAGCTATGTCGGCTGAGTACAGCAATACCCCCGTATGTACCTTTGCCAGGTATGTGTGGACATCGGAGGGGCACATTTGGGACACAGCCATTCCAGTTTTTTTCAAACTTTGAATTTTTATGCTGTGCCTATGTCCCATTTTAGAGTATTTTACTAGGCTATATAATCCAAATTCCCCATAAAGCCATACCATTTCTTAAAGAAGACATCCCAGGGTATTTCAAAAAGGCATATTTTGAACCTCAGCGTGGGATCATTTTTCCGCTAGCTTGTACCAAGTGTAGTGGTAATAAGCATTTTTCTGCCTTTTTGACATACAAAGTGAGTTTGCACAGTATATTTTGCAAACCTTATGTGTGCTACGACTGTATAATACTTCATATGTTGCTCAGCTATGTCGGCTGAGTACAGCAATACCCCCGTATGTACCTTTGCCAGGTATGTGTGGACATCGGAGGGGCACATTTGGGACACAGCCATTCCAGTTTTTTTCAAACTTTGAATTTTTATGCTGTGCCTATGTCCCATTTTAGAGTATTTTACCAGGCTATATAATCCAAATTCCCCATAAAGCCATACCATTTCTTAAAGAAGACATCCCAGGGTATTTCAAAAGGCATATTTTGAACCTTAGCGTGGGATCATTTTTCCGCTAGCTTGTACCAAGTGTAGTGGTAATAAGCATTTTTTCTGCCTTTTTGACATACAAAGTGAGTTTGCGCAGCATATTTTGCAAACCTTATGTGTACTATGACTGTATAATACTTCATATGTTGCTCAGCTATGTCGGCTGAGTACAGCAATACCCCCGTATGTACCTTTGCCAGGTATATGTGGATGTTGAAGGGGCGCATTTGAGACGCAGCCATTCAGTTTTTTTCTAACTTTGAAGTTTTACGCTGTGTCCATGTTCCAATTTGGAATAGTTTAGACGGTTGGTTATTGAAACTTCCCCACAAACACATACTATTTATTAAAGAATACACCCTGGGGTAATTCAAAAGGCATATTTTGAACCTTGGCGTGGGATAATTTTTTCTCTAGTTTGTTCCAGGTGTAGTGGTAATGAGCGTTTTTAAAATGTATTTTTTTACTTTTTATAACTTTTTTACTTTTAAAAACTAGTTTTTAAACTTTTGTTTTGCTTATAAATTTTTTTTAAACTTTCCTAAACTTTCTTAAAACTTTTTTACAGATTTAACATTTTTCTAAGCTATTTTTTTTACTGTTAACCCCTAACTAGCAGTACGCAGCACTAACAGTAAATTCCCCATTTTCCCATAACTCCCACCCACCCCAGCTAGCAAAATATATAGTTATAAAATATTTAAATTAATTAATTAAATAAATTGAACCCCTGAGGGTTAAAAAAAATAAATAAAAGTTAATACTCAGGGGTTAAAAAAAATTAGATCACAGTATAATACTGTGATCTCTATTTGATCGCTGTAGGCAGTGATCGACTGGCAGGGAAGGGGTTAATTTTTATTTGGACTAGGTAAAGTGTGTTTTTTTGTTTTTATTACTTAAATGTTATTAAAACATTTTTTTAAGCTTAATTTTTTACTTTTTAAAGTTTCTTTTAAAACTTTTTTTTAACGTTAACCCCTAGTTAGCCTAACGCCAAATCCCCCAATTCCCCACTAACTTCCACCTACCCCAGCTATCTAAATATATAATTTAAAAATAATTTAATTAATTAATTTAATTTAACCCCTGAGGGTTAAAAAAAAAAGAATTAACCCTCAGGGGTTAAAAAAAAAAATCAGATCATAGTAAAATGTAATCCCTGCCAATTGATCACTGTAGTCAGTGATCAATTGGCAGGGAAGGGGTTAATTTTTTATTAAAATGGGTAAGGGGGGGGACACTTTAAATAAACTTTATTTTTTTAAACAGCAGGGGGCAGGATCAGCACTGATCCGGCTCCCTGCACTTCACACAGAACCCGGAAGTGCAGGGAGCCGGTAGGTAAGTATTCAGAGCACATGTGCTCGCTCCGACTTGTGGTCAGAGCGAGCACATGTGCTGGGCAGCTTGACCGGGTGCTCCCGGTATGCCTCCAATGCAGAGGCATACCGGGAGCACCATTAACCCCGCGATCGCCGCGATAGCGGCGATCCGGGGTTAATTTTACCGCGTGACGGACGAGGTCCGTCACCCGTCGTTAAGGGTCTCCCCTGTGTGACGGACCTCGTCCGTCACCCGTCCTGAAGGGGTTAAGGACTGAGCCAGTTGTAGACGTCATGATGTAAACAAAAACTGAAATTTGGGCTATATGTTTGTCCAACCACAATTCGCCTTTTTAGTGTTAAGTGCATCCGCACTTATTATATTTCATATATGAAACATAATTAATTATGAATAAAATCTAAAAGTGTTAGCTTTTACTGCAATAAAATTCACTTATTTGTTCAGCAAAGTCTCACAAGTACAACAGTACCCCAATGTACAGGTTTTATGGTGTTTTGGACAGTTACAGGGTTAAATATAGCATTTTTAATTTTTCCGTTTACACACATTGAAATTTGCCAGACGTGTTATGTTGCCTAGGAATGAGAATTACCCCCATGATGGCATACCGGTTGTTAAAAAATGTTTTTATGAAACAATCAAATGTCGACGTTTCAGTCAATACAGACTTTTATCAAGACAAATGTTAAATGAAATAAGAACCGTTATATAAGTGACTATGCTTGTGATTGGAGGGTGAGTGAGGAGAACGAGATTTGTGATGTCATTCATGACGTGTGAATATTCAAAATATATAATTGAGACCATTAAACATGTGAGGTCTGTACAAAGAAAAAAGTAAAAAAGAAATGGAAAAAGTAAACAAAGATATTTACAATTCCAACACCAGGTATAGAACGATAAGGATTTCAGCCAACCATAGAGAAACATAACCGAGAAAGACAAATGTTATATACAATTGTAGCTAATTTTACAATCCTTATGAACTAAGGGTTGACCATGTATTCTCACATGAATTGCACAAGGACAATCTTGAAATATATTGCATCTCAATAACAGTGATAATGAAACATTCCATATATGTACATACTGAAACCCTGTATCAAAATAAAGTCTCTTTATCTCCTTTGAAGAAAGCAGTATAAGGAGTTTTTCTCATATAAACAGTGTGGGGATAGAGTTCCCAAAGTATGTATCCAGAAGGCTTCATGCCTCAAAAGGAGAATGTCTGTCTCAATTGCCACCTCTAGGGTAGATGGGTACATGATTGATCCCCATAAATCAAAGTGATGAGAGGTTAAGGCATGAATCCAAGAAGTGACAGGCAACAGGAGAGCCAGCCGTGCCGTTCAAGAATGCTGTGCGTATCGCAGATCTATAATCCTGCATTCATTCTCTGAGATTATTTGAGGTTTTCCCCACATAAACTAAGCCACATGGGCATATAATCTTGTATATTACATGGGTGATAGAACAACTTATTCTGTGTTTAATTTTATATGTTTTTCCTGTTCTGGGGTGGCAAAATGTTTTCCCGGGGATCATGGAATTACAGGCCATACAGTTCAAACACCGATAACATCTTGCATTGGTAACTGGGGTTTAACGTTCAATTTTTACTGTTTGGTCAGTATGTACAAGCAGATCTTGAAAAATTCTTGCCTCTCTTGTAACTAATGATGCGTATCTGATGGAAGATAGGAGGTAAGGAAGGGTCCTTACTCATATTCACCCAGTTGTTTTGAACGCTTTGTCATTTCACTAGACCTGGAATGAAATGCTTGTGGGAGGGTGAATCGGTCATTCGTTTTTAAGCGCATACTTTCCCCTGATATCACTTTAACTGCTTGACCGTAGGTTTTTTCCAAAGTAGGTTTCGAATATCCTCTTTGTTGGAATTTGGTGAACGTTTCGTGAATTTGTTGTTCACTCTTGTCTACATCAGAATTGTTACAGAGTACCCTGATGTATTGGGATACTGGCAAGGGTTCTTTTAACTTTCTCGGGTGAAAGCTTGTGGCATGTAGAATTGTGTTCCTGTCTGTAGGTTTTGAAAATAAAGTATAGCCCAGTCGGATGTCAGTGATGAAGATGTTAAGGTATTGGAAACTAAAATGTGTGGCATCTAGTTGGTATGTGAATCTGACAAGTGTTGGTAATGAATTAGTCGTTCATCATCGATGTAAAGCTTTCTTCACTCCGTGGCTTGGCGTTACTTGTAAAGTACATACCAAAGGAGTTGTGGTGGGAAAAAAATGTGGATGAAAACCCCTTCCACCTGAAGTAAGTGGATAGTTAATAATATATTGCTAATCACAAAATGTTCATTTGCATACACCTACCCAGAATCCCTTGCAGTAGTGAGAGCACTGTTAAAGTGAGATTTCTGTGGGAGAAGCAAGTATTATGACTTGACTGGTGTGTGTATTTGTGTTTAGCAATGTATTGACTATCCACTTACATCAAGTGGAAGGGGTTATCATCCACACTCTTTTACTTGCCACAAATCCTATAGTATGTAATATATTATATATAATATATATGTGTGTGTGTGTGTATATATAAATATGTTTATGAAGGCGGGGCCTGGAGTTGTGGGAGGGGTTGACCTGGCCTATAAAAACCCAAACCTACCTCCCTACTGGGCTGACATTGACTGGTCACTTCCGGTTTCGCCAAGAATTCCCTCGTGACTCTAGCAGGCCTAGCTACAGCCAGAATAACGGGCAGGCGCTCCAGCGGGCCCTCACACCACGCTTCAGACGCCATCTCCAAACCGTGGGAACACAATCGCTCCCAGCACCGCTGAACTTCCGGGGCACCTTCCCAAACTTCCGGGTCGGCTACCAGGCACCCGGGAAAAAGTGAGTACATACGACCGTGGTTAAACTACCGAACGGGGGCGCGTGTCCATGAATGCAATTACACTTGCCCATATAACACACATAAACGAATTAGTGTACCAACAGGCATGAACGCGGGAAAAACAAAACATCATTCTCCTAATACATAGTTGTTCGCACAGACAAAACCCATACGGTTACTCTCACCTCGTAATGAAATTCAAGCTTTCAGTTCGGCTAAATCAGAGTTAAAAAAAATTGCTAACTACACGTAAAACCTAAAATAACATTAATGCAGTGATAATTATAATTGGTTTCATTGGAGCAACATGGTATGCAGTTAAAATATAAAATCTATTCATTATGCATTGTTGAATTGTGCTTTGTTTAAATGTGTTTTGCTCTAGTCAAATAAGTGAACGGCTAAAATTAGTAATATATTTAAAGGCTAAATATGGTCAATTAGTCGGGATATTGCCTTCTATAAACCAAAATACGCTTGTATTGTCATTATGTTCTTTTAGAATTCAGATCAATATTCTCTTGAATTCCATCCGATCAGTTTTTTTTTCTTGTATACACGGTACGTGGAAACTCATGCAGATTCTAAGGGGGAGGTGGGGGGGGTTAATGTCCGTAGAAAGAGTACTAGGTAAAACCCCGGTAAAAAGTATTGGCATATTATGATATGATTAAATTCCAGTCCGAATGTGATCTGTACCACAAATATACAGACCAGTAAGCTACATTCCCTACTATACCTGTTTCTGGCATCTAAATAACACGGCCATTAGAGTAAGCTACACACAATTTAAAAAGTTGCGTTAAGTTGTCCACACTAACAGAATAACTTTAAATAGAACAACCTGTATATATATTAATTCACGTAAACCAACATATACCTACACCACAAGCATACTTTGCTCTATAACGTAAAAGACATATTACATGCAATCAGGTCATACAAACGCTCGAGTCAAGAAACATACGTACGTAACTACACAAACCTATACGAGGAGGACAATTACAAGGTAACATCAAATGTTTGCACACAGTTCATAGAATTTTTTACGTACAAAAAAATCTACTTACCAAACATATAGATCTATTCACACCTAATCATGTGAAAATTAAACATAAGCTTTATTTCAATCCCTCCATCTGCTAGGTCCAGAAGTAACTCAATTACTTACAACCCCTTAAGAGGAGCATTGGCTTACCCAGGTATGTATCACTTTAAACTAATATCAATCACACAATCATAGTAAGTTACCAACTATAGTTTTGGTTTCAACAGGTGGTACATACCAATAAATCAGTCATCCCGTAAAGCTATAAAATACCTTCTAAAAAGTTAACAGGTATGCTATGTCCTTCATACCTTTTACCTCAAAGCATTGTTAACTGGCAGTTATGCTACTGGAACGGCCCCGAAAGTTAACCGGCTGGCGAAATAAAGACCATTCCATTTTATTCCATGCAAATGCCACAGTGACGGATTTATAGGAAGAAGCTTGAAGGCATTGGAAATGTCAGTTTGCAAAGCTGCTACCCCAGCCTTCAAGATTGCCTGTATGGCATATTCTACCATGGCATATTGCAATGAAAATTCCTTGGAAGGTATCAGTTTAGACTTGGCACAACAACAGAATGTGGAGCAGACAGGTCGATTATCAATCGTTTTTTATTGTTATATTTTCCGGTTGCAATACCCAAGCGGTTGGTTCACCAACATGTGAACGGTGGAATTTAAAATGGCCCAAGCATAAAGCCTTTCTCTACTTCTGTTCGTAGCAGGTTGTCTACGATAGTTGGTTCCATAGTGGTTGATTGTAGGTTGTTACACTCGAGTGTGCCTGTTGGTGGTGCGATTAATCCTGTGTGGAACACCTCCGTGAAACCCGTGATTAGGAATTTTACTAAATCCTGTGAAGGGTGAGTGTAAAGGTAAAAAGCCAATGTGTCGACCTGAACTTTGTTCAGTCATTTCCTGGGAAAGAGGTGGTTTGGGCACATGGTCTAAGCGTGGGCTCGTTAACAGATGGAGCAGACATGCAACAACCTGAAAGTGCTGAAACTGCAGCCGCCTGCATTGAAGTTGTTGCATTTCTATGACTTGCCCAAAAACACGATAGGTCTCCCAGCTTGTCTTTTAACCCTTTCTGTTCAGCTCTACTCTTGCTAGGGGTGATGTAGCTAGTGGTGGGTAAACTGGGCTCATTGGAGCACAAATTGGATACTATGGAAATTTCCACAAGACCAACACCCATCCTCGCCTAGAGGTATTTTCGCCCAGCAGCCCAAATCATAGATATAGTCTCACAACACTCTAAGAGGTTTAGAAAGGGTGTCACTTTCCTTATCCTTTTACCACTTATCAAGTTCCCCAGAGGCCGACACCCTGCCTTCATTATGATAGCACAGCAGAGGGCCATTTCATAGACAGCGCCTCTACCAGCCACCTGACAATTAGAAGGGCCTCACCATCTCACAAGTAAAGTTTTTTGCCACCCGGCATTTAAAGAGACACCAGTTAACGCAAGTCACAAATATCCATATCTGGATAAGAATCACGTTTTTAAATTTAATTTTAGCTTGTTTCACATGTCAGACCAAGGAGAGGACTTCTCCCTACCCAGCACGCCAGCTAGTCCACCCAATCCAACTACTGCCCCTACACCAGACAAGAATCAAGACCCTGTAAGCCCCTATTCTTTAAGATCATGGACGATCCCAAAGATTGCCGCAGAGCTGGGGCGTAGGGGGATACCTTATCCTGCCGCGCCCAGTAAGGCAGAGTTATACAGAATTATGATGACCTGTACGGATAATCCACAACCAGGGTCCAGTACCCAAAATAACATTTATGACACCCTAACAGGGATTTGGACCACAATGACAGCAATGCTGGTATCCATCGATAATTTGAACCAAAGAATGGAAAAGTTGGAATCTCCAGCACCAGCCACCGTGTATCCCCCCTCCTACACAAATCACCAACCAAACTGTCTCACAGGGTAATGTCACAGGTACACAGATTTCACAGGGATCTGATACACATATGATCATGCTCTCCTTCTTCAAACTCTTCAATCACTTGGTCTCTGTGACCCTGTCCTCTCGTGGTTTTCCTCTTATCTGTCCCAACGCTCAGTGTCTCCTTTTCTAATGATACCTCCTCCCCTCGTCCTGTCTCGGTTGGAGTCCCTCAAGGCTCTGTCCTTGGTCCCCTTCTATTTTCTCTTTATACTGCCTCTTGGCAAACTTATTACCTCTTTTGGATTCCACTACCACCTGTACGCTGATGACACCCAGTTATATATCTCCTCCCCGGACCTCTCCCCTGCCGTCCTGCAACATGTCACTGCATGCCTTTCTTCCATATATAGCCTGTATATATGGCTTGGCCTGTAAGTGTGGGAGGTACATGGAACCCTACTTAAACCCAGTAAGCCCCTGCCGTCGACTATCTCGGAAGTGATTCTGTTTACTTCCGTTCACTGGACCCTGACATCATTTTCCCGTCCGCCGGCAGTCCGTTTGCAAAAAACTTTATCTGTTTACTGAGTTCGGGAGTATAACAAGGGAAGCCAGCATACGAACGGCTAACCATAAGTTATACTCTATCATTTCGTACGCATTACATACTTACCAACAGTATACACATAGCAGCAGTTCGTGTCAAACACACTTTCGTACAAACTTCCCTTCATTCGTATAAACTGCCACTTGTTTCAGTATGACCTTTCATATGTTCTGTTCTTTTAGACTATCGGTTAGTTTCATGCACACTTTAGTTTACTTTCCACGCTGTCAACTCACTCATACCTAGCAGTACAATTTCATTTCGGTACTACAGCATCATGAAAGCATTTTACATTCAAATTTAATGTTAAATTTAATTTTAATTCCATGTTAAATTTGGTTAAGTTTAACAAATTCATTAAAACGTCCTTTTTATTTTATTTCTTGTCTGTGTTAAAACAAACAGCAACTCTGTTCGTTACTTTCATATGGGAGTTATTAACTGTCTTTTATTTTAACTTGCTGGCTTTGCAGTAGAAGTTAAACTCCGGTTGAAACAGCACTGGTAAAGCTTTTCATTCAATTTAAACAGCTTTCAATGTCAAAGCATTTATTATGTCACTCTTTAAAAACGTCCTTGTTTTTCTACTCTCTAAAATATACGAAATCAGTATGTGCTGACGGCAGTTAAGGTATAATTAAAGTATTTCTCCTCAAAGCATAGCTAATGTGTATTATAAATATATGTATGCTAATCAGGTTAAGATTATGCTTATATTCTGTCTTGTGCAATGCTAACCGGCGTTTCGGTTAAAACTTTGTTTTTCCGTTAGTATACACAGTCACACTTTCGCACAAACTTTCGTTTATTTGTATAAACTGCCTCATACCTAGCAGTTCAAGTTCATTCCGTTTATACAGCATTGTGAAACCATTTTTTTTTTTTTTTTTCAATTGAAACGGCATTGCATGTTGCATTTCGTTTAAATTACCTAGTCTTTCTTTAAAGGGACACTCCAGGCAGCCCTTTTTACTCGTCTCGTTCCACCGCCGGGAGCCTCGTGAAGCCGCGCCCCCCATTTCGTCAAAATGATGAAATAGGCGGGCGCGAGCAGGAAGCAATCAGACTCTTCCATTTGGAAGCGGCATTGCTCCCTTGTGCACATGCGCGGCTGTGCCGCTCATGCGCACATACTGAGCATGTGCGTGGCCACGAGCTGAGCTGACTGACAGCTCAGCTCGCGGTCTTTGCCCGCCCCCTCTCCTCTGCTGACCGGCAGGAGAGAGAAGGCGCGCACACAGTGCCTTCTCTCTCCTGCACACGTCAGACGTATTTTAATATGTCGGACGTGTACATGGCCTTTTTACGACCATACATGATAGGAAGTCCCTCTGGTGGCCGTCTGAGTGACGGTCATTGGAGGTATTCCTATCAATCAATGTAAACACTGTATTTTCTCTTAAAATACAGTGTTTACATTAGATTGCCTGCAGGGGGCTATAGATCTCACCTGAACAACTACATTAAACTGTAGTTGTTCAAGTGACTATAGTGTCCCTCTAAGTCATCCGTTTCATGGTATTATTGTCTTAATTAAAAAACGAACAGCAATATCCTAATCAGGATGTCTTATGGCAATTAAGGTTATACTTTCACTGTGTATTTTTCCTTAAACCATAGCTAAAGTGTTTTATTGGTATATAAGTGTGTTAATAGGTTTATATTATGCTCTACTTCAGTCTCCGGCATCTCATGTTCCTTATAACACTAGGCTGTATATAAATAAGATGACAATTAAGTATGTTTTTCCCTCCTGTTAAAGATTGTACAATTACTGTTACTGATTGCTAAGGGGCCTTATGGGTTAAATACACCACATTACTTAAAGAGGTAGGCCTCAGAAATTCCTACCTAAATTTCATGTATTTTCTTCTGGTAACATGTACTATAAATAAAGAAGTCACATTAGTTTCAAGTTATCACCCTACCAGGATAAGCCGCACAAGATCCTCATACGTTGCACAAAATTACGACGTCGCCCACATATAAAACAAAATCAAAATCTCCAAAGACCATACAATTATCAATGCAACTATGTTTCATTTCATTCAATTATCTACACAATAACCAAACATAAACCAATCGATCGCATAACGTTCAACAATTCGTCTCTGCCGTCAGTAGTTATGGTACGGTTAGTAATAATAGTACAGTTAGATAATCATGGTGTTATAGTTGCAATATCAATTTTAATGGTTATGGTGTTACAATTATGTCGTACAGTAATTTTGGTGTCGTCAATGTAATGTCGGTAGTTATGGTGTCAGTCAGTAGATAGGGGGTTGTGCACAATTATACACTTTACACACTTTTTACAAGACCGCTAAACACCAAAAGCTCAAATCGGTTAGCAGGATACGGATCGTTCTTTCCACTACGGTATACGCTATACAGGACCAACAGCAGGTACGTTAACGAAATAAAACCAGTTGGGGTTAGGACAAGGTTTAAGCTCTCGCCAATTTAGGTATGGTCCCTTAGGCCTCCTGGCCTATAAGTCAAGTGGTCCCGCAAGGCATACAATCAGCCTTCCGTTCAGAGGTTCGAGCCCAATCGGCCCAACGCATAGTTATAGCCTTGCATCAAGTCATAGTTAGGGCCTCACCCGTCACGGCCAATCGATTTTACAATCTTTTACATGTCACCGAGATGCCAACACCCCGCCACCCACCTCAGTGGCACATAGGCCCCACGAGCCAAATCATAGGTAGAGCCTTTCAAAGCCACTTGGCAAGTAGTCAGGGTGTCACCTGTCGCCAACATAAGCTAATTAATACAATTTCGTCTGTAGGCACTTCTTTAGTAACCTGGGTCACTGCAGATCTATACGGTACCTTACTAACCAAGTCATCTGCCGCACTTCCTTAGCATGTCTAACGCTTCTATATAAGGAGACGTTCTCAGTTACCAGCACCCATCTCAGTTCAGGCTCGCAAAGAGTACTATACAAACACCGACTGAGGTCAGTTACACACAGAACGGTTTCTAAGGCATTTTTCGGGTCTCAAAACACCTTCCTGCGCCATGAGCTCAGCAATTAAATTTCATCCTGGAAACGTAGCTATTCCCTCTACCGGTAAGCCAACACTGATTATCAGTCCTACACATCCCAGAGGTATTTGGTTAAGACAAAGTAGGCAGGCCAATTTGTTTTCTAGGTGAAGCACAAGTCTGCAATAATTTCAATGCCGGTGGTTGTAGTTATAGTGCTGGTAGGCTTCTTCATATGGGCTCACTTTGTTTCAATGCACACGCCAAAAACAACGTGCCCCTACAGGCGGTACCCTAAATTCTTCCACCCCAATACACTTTCCTAATCTCTAACGCTACCTGTCTACTCATCCTTCTTTATATCTGGAAGAATTTCTCATGACTACTAATGGGTTTTACACAGGGTTTGTGTCACTCCACATAGGTATTTTGGAACACCCATCAGCACTCTCAGTTCCCATCAGACTACAAAACTCTTACTTAATGAAATCACCAACAGTTTCTTGATAGGGCCTTTCAAAACACTACCTTTTCACCTCCTGGAGGACAAACCCCTAGGAATCGCCTCAGGGAATTTTACATTTTAAAGAGACCTATTATTTGATTTTTTTGCACCTCACTCACCCACTTCTCCTTGCTTAAATACACTGTCCCTGTCATAAGTTTTCCGTCAGTTAGCCGGAATTGACGAGGCCATACAAGCAATCATTCATTCTGGGAAGGCTGCCTGGTTATGTAAGTCAGACTTTACTAACACGTGTAAATTACTACCCATTCTTCAGTCAATCTGGCATCTGCATGGAGTTAAGTGGGAAGACAGCCACTATTTCGTTACCAGACCAACATTCGGCTCAATATGTAGCCCAAGTTATGCGATATTTTCGCCGAAACCTTAAACCTGGCTCCCACGGAACATATGCAGAACCATCAAACCACACCAAAGCATGCCACACAGCCTGAATCACATGTTCACTCCGTTCAAAGATTAGGAGTACCCGTAGCCCGGACAAAACACAGCGATCACATTCCCGGGGTTTACACTCGGTTCTATTTCTATGCAGGCCAACCTGCCACAAGTGTAAGTAAATAGAATTCTTTCTTACATCAACATCTGCACGTCACAAGACACTTGCACCAGGAATCAGCTACAGTCACTACCCAGTTCACTCAATTTTGCGGAGCGAATAATTCCACAAGGTAAGTCTTTAATTTCCAGAATCCTCTCTCTCGTGCATGGTCTCCCTGTCGACGACTCCACAGCTCTCTTAGACAAACCAGCTACAGCTGATATTAAGAAGTTGAAGTCTGTTCCTGTCCTCTCCCTACTTCTTGTACCCCCTGTTTCTGACGATTCCCCTGTGGTCCGGACTGACGCATCAGGTGCCGTAGATTATGCAGCAAATATTGGTTACAAATGGGTACAGGTCTCTTGGCCAATTGAGTCTACCTCGCTAGTAAATTTCAATACCACCTCAGCACTATTTGAGTCTACCCAGTCGTAGCAGCTACACATATATGGGGCAAAGAGTGGAGAGGGCAGTCGGCTAGATACTTTTGTAATATCGTTAACAAAGGCCGCTTTCAGTCCCTCCCGATTATGAACTTGGCACATTACCTGGCTAGCGGCAAATCTTCAATTCTGCATAACTTATGTTCACGTTCCAGGTATTCAGGATAACGCAGCTGACGCTCTCCCACACTCTAATTTTCAGGATTTTTTTTTCGAAGGTCATCCATCAGCAAACTCGCAGCCCAAGGAGCTTCCAAGCTTCACTGTCCTAATTATGTGTTAAATACTCTTTTGCTCCATAGTAGGTCGCTCGCACAGGCTGGTTTATACCTTAATTTAAGAAAGCCTATTCCAAGAGCGCATCCGTTGTTTAAATGTTTGTTCGTGTTGATTGTGTGATAAATGTTTCTATTTGTAACTATGGTCGCATTTACAACTTTTGCCATTTTTCTCCTAAATTAGTTTACAATACTATCAAACCTTACTTCACAGGCATACACATTTACTCATACCAAAACAAGCCATACTGGTCCTCCAGTAGAGATGAAATATTATCCTACCTCTACTAAATCAGGTCCTATCCACGTTTTGGATAATCTATTGGAATCTCAACTCACTTCCATTCCTGATTCCCCACTAGTAGCTTTTCAAGGGAAACCCCTAACCAATAAACGTTTTATGCTTTACATTCGTACGATATCACTCCGACTAGGACATAACCCTCATTCCTTCTCGGACCATTTATTCCACATTGGAGCAGCCACAGCTGCCTCCGGTAATCACGTACCAACTCACATCGTTAAAATATGGGTCGGAGGAAATCATCCGCATACAACAAATACATCCCCAATCCTGAGAAAGAAATAAGATTGGCTTGCTGTGAAATGTCTAAATAATGATCTGCTGAATAAATGACTTGTAAGAATCGCTTCTTATATTTTTGCCCTCTTTTACAAGTCTAACCTCATGTCAGTTTCAACACACATTTAACTGACTTTGCTCTTACTACTATTGCTTCTTTCTTATTGTTACTTACTTCCTCGAAATGTGCCGTACACAAATAGAAGGCTTGGCCTGTAATTGTGGGAGGTACATGGAATCCTACTTAAACCCAGTGAGCCCCTGCTTACCTGTCGTTGATGATCTTTGAAGTGACCCTCCCACCGCACCCTCTATTTATTCTCATATCACCTAGTTTTGGCACACCTCAACGGACTTTGCTCTTACTACTATTGCTTCTTTATTGTTCCTTACATCCTCAAAATATGCCGTACACATTATGGAGGGCGGCCGGCACAGTCTGTTCAACGCAGCGCCGGTCAGGCGAGGTGGCAGGCCAGGATGAGGCCGCACAGGAAGAGCACCCCCTGCCGTAAGGGGAAAGCACGAAGGACAGCGGAATCCAGCATGACATGATGGCCGCAGGGCAGGGAGACGGAGAAGAGAGCGGCAAGAGGTGTCCTGGTGAGTCTGCCCCTGGTACCTGATGTACAAGCGGTCCCCCCAAATGGGGTCCAGGTTAACGGGACACAGACGGAGGTGGCCCAGGGTCAGGTTAGAGGTGAAGGAAGGGGACAGCAGGCGGAGTCTTCACAGGCGCAGCAGAGCAGCTATGGAGGGGAAGGCCAGCAACCAGGATTAATTAAAGATTAATTAATGGGGCCGCAAGTGGATGAGGCGGCCGGGGAGAGGCCAGGTACTGCAAGCAGAGGGCAGAAGAGAGGACAAGGACGGGTGGAAATGGACATAAGGGACAGAGGCAAGCGAGATCCCCCTGGAGGGCGTTCTCAGGAGCAGGAACACAGGAGGAGCGTGAGCAAGTGTGAGTACGGGAGGGAGCAGTGCAGGGACGATGACAAGCACAGCAGCAGCAGGAGGGCGGATGAGTGATGGAGGAGCCTGTCAAGAAGTCGGTGTGGTAGGAGGAGGTCCAGTTCCTGGCAGAGGAAAAGGAGGTCTCAGTGCAGCGCTTCAGCTTCATCTGGCAGGATTTCACTAGGGCAGAGGCGTGACGTCTGCGTCCGGGAAGGTCAGGCAGCAAGAAGGAGCAGAGATTAGGATGACAGAACAGAGCACAGGGAGGAAGGTCTGGTAAGGCTATATCAGAACAGACTACCCAGGTTATCTTCTCCGAGGAGTGTTACTCCTACGGGCTTGAGGCGGGACCAGGAGTCAGCATCCACCGGATACTCCAGAGCCTGGCAAAGTGGACAGAAGGACAGCGCAGATGGGGGTTTGGGCGGTGAGTTAATAAACACACCACACTCTGGGAAGCTTTTTTAAATTGCAGAAATCATTCATGATTTCATGATCAAGTAAAAAAGGGGCCCTCCCTGCGGTGTGGAAGGGTGGGGTCACCGCAGGGCGGTCGGGAGGCAGAAGTTAGGTGGGTGGTGATGGCGTGCCAGGTAAGGGAAGGGGATGCGGTACCGGGGGCATTCGATGGGGCAGGAGAACAGTTAGATGTGTGGCAATATTGCAGGCGCAACGAAATGATTAAATTGATTTGTAAAAAAAAAACTTCCTGTCTTCCGCTTGGAGTTCCTTGATTTAAAAGGGGACGATCGGAAGGAGGCCGGAAAAGAGGAGGAGAGAAAAGGTGGATATCGCAAGATACTGAAGACTTTGGGAATTGGCTTAGGGCTTTTGTATCCTAGTAGGCGTAATCGGGATAAGGTGCCCGGTTCCTAATGATGGTGCAGGTGCGCCCCCCGGAGGTGCGGTGCTGGCAGGACAGAAGAAAGGTCAATGCAACTGGGGACCATCGGGTAGGCTTGGATATGGGTGTTCCAGAGGCGGTGGGAGTCACTGTGTCAACTGACGCGTCAAGAAAGGAAAACCTAAAGGCAGGAGGGGTACTCACCGGGGCTTCAGCCCTGCGTTTACGGCTCTGAGCGGCACCGGTGACGTTCAGTGCATTGCTGCCGTGGCTAAGGCAGTAAGCCTCCCATGAAGGCGCTAGTTTTATGGCTGGGATTGTGGGGGGGCGGGGGTTTCGCTATTCCATTCAAATTCGAGGGACCAGAAAAAGTGGTGGGCGACTATCAAGTCCGTGGGGGAACATCTGGGATTGGTTCGTGAGTGTTCACGCGAGGAAGCCCAATTGGGGGGATGGCGGGTCCGTTACATCCCCGCCATTAGCGGATCTGTGGTTGGGGGGTGGTCCCCTAGAAAGGGGCGGGCAAATTCCATCTGATACAAAACTTATTGCACCCGAAAGGGGCATTGGCAAATGAGGACATTGATGCAGACCTGTTCTGTACTGTGTGTATGTAATGGGGTACAGAGTGTGTAGGTGCAGGGGATGTATTGTGTGTATGTAAGGGGGTACAGAGTGTGTAGGTGCAGGGGGTGTACTGTGTGTATGTAATGGGGTACAGAGTGTCTAGTTGCAAGGGGTGTACTGTATATGTGTATATAGACCAGGGGTAAGATAGAGGCTGGATTAATTTAAACATATATAAATAAATGTACTTCCCCTCTCCCTTGCAGATGATAGAGGGAGCACACAGATCCTTGGTGGTCAAGTTAGAGGGAACACGCCACACATAGATCCCTGGTGGTCCAGCAGGCAAGTTATGTTGTCTGACATTAAGAAAGCATAAAATTGTTCACTGGTTCACAAACATCTACCATGTATGTACGTAGTGGGGAATTTCGATGCAGCATAATACACAACCAGGAGTGACAACCATTAACTTGCACCGGGGCCCATGCACTTAGGGCCATCCGATGGGCCTTGTATCTTCAGGGGCCCGCTCAGCGCTGTGGCCGTGTAATAGCGTGACCGGCACCTTTAAAAAAAAAAAAAAAAAAAAAAAGCAGCCGCAGCAGGAGTGAGGGAGAGCCATGCTGACTACTCCCATCAGCCCCAGCCACCCTCCTGCAAAGAAAAGGTAAGAAACAGGAGGGTGGCTGGAAAATGAGCTTTGTGTATGTGTATTTCTATGTATGTCTGTATGCATGCATGCCTGTCTGTCTCTGTCTGTATGCATGCGTGTATGTCTGTCTGTATGCATGAATGTCTGTCTGTCTATATATGAATGTATGTCTGCTTATCATTATGAACGTGTGTATGTGTGTATGGGTCTGTATATATGCATGTATGTCAGTTTGAATGTATGTATGTCAGTTTGAATGTATGTATGTCTGTATGCCATTATGAATGTCTGTGTATGAATGTCAGTGTGTATGTATGTGTCTTTATGTCCTCTTGCATGTGTTTCTGTATGTATGTTAGTATGTGTCTGTCTGTCACTATGTATGCCTGTGTGTCTGTATATGTGTGTGTCAGTATGTATGCCTGTTTCAGTATGTGTGTCTGTTAGTATGTATAGGTGTCCTTTTGTATCAGTGTGTGTGTTTGTGTCTGTATTCCTGTGGGCGGTATTTGGAGGCGGGCCCCAGGGGACCTAGACCCCGAGCTGAGTTAGGGGGCCCCAAAATTTCAGGTGGCGGCCCTGTACATAACTAACCCCATTTAACCCCCCCAATAACGACAGACAACTTAGTATGGATGAAACAGGCCACAGCATTTATTCAGGATCCCAATCGGGTCATACCTGTGCTAAACACACCTGCATCTTCCTCTTGCCAATCTTACGAGTCCCAACCTTACCCTTGACCTGTGTTACTTTGTCACAGATTTTTGCAATAACATTTCATACAAATGCTTTTCTTTTTCTCTCTGACATTTAGCTTTGTGTGCCTGTCTATAAGCAGTAAGTATTACCCAACCGCTTTTCTGCCACTTATCTTTTGGAATCTTTTTTAGACAAGCAAGAAGGTTTCATTTCAATTTCGCTTTTTCCACATTTACCAGTTGAACTAGCCCATTCACTGGCAATCAATGCATATGGCTCATCTTCCCATCTGGGAATGATGGCGTCATCACCCTGTTTCTTATTCTTTTTAAACAATGTGCAAATTTCCTATGGTTTTGTCAGAAAAAACTTGCACTCCTTGGGGATGTGTGTTCTATGTGTTTATTTAATTTCACTTGAATATGTGCTAATCCAGACACCTAGTGTCTGGCCTTTTGTCTTAGTCTTCACTTAAGCCTGCCCAGGTGACTATTCTAGCTGCAGGTTTGCACTCCCCAACCACACTGGCTTTCTACACACTCTGTAAAGTGTATAGGGGCATCTATGATCGAGCCAACAATCTCACACTTTCAGGAACAGCCATTTCATTCACTTCCCCAGTCAGTACTGGCTTCCAGCAACTGTTAAGGCGCGTAGGTGCACTGTTCCTGACCAAGCACAATCACCCATTAGTGTCAAATCACTCCAAACAATCCTGTGGTATTGGTGACCTTATCACAATACCTGGTATTGAGCTTATTAAAACAGCAATTCAGCCTCACTCAGGACGCTAGCTTGTTTGAGGGTAGCACACCTCAGCCGGCACTGGCGTTCTACACACCTTCAACGTGTATAGGTGCGTCTACCGACTGAGCACAACTTATATTCTTGAATCAATCTTCAGAAGCACTCCTCAACACTAGCGTACAAACCACGGTCGCAGGGGTTGCAGCTGCCACCGGGCCCGGCCCACAAGGCTGGCAGTGCTGTCGGTGGGCGCACAAGGGAGCATTTTTAATATGATATTTATAGAGCGCTGTCAAATTCTGCAGCGCTTTGCAATGGGTGGACGAACAGACATGTAGTTGTAACCAGACAAGTTGGACACACGGGAACAGAGGGGTTGAGGGCCCTGCTCAATGAGCTTACATGCTAGAGGGAGTGGGGTAAAATGACACAAAAAGGTAAGGATAGTATTAGACTAGTGACAGTTGCAGAAGAGGAATCAGTCAGGAGCTATTAACAGTTTAATTGATATGCTTTTATGAAGAAGTGGGTTTTTAACGATTTTTTGAAGGAGTGGAGACTGGGTGAGCATCTAACGGAGGAGGGAAGCGAGTTCCACAGGAACGGTGCAGCCCTCGAGAAATCTTGAAGGCGAGCATCAGAGGTGGGAGTACGGACAGAAGATAGACGTAAGTCTTCAGCAGATCGTAAGGGCCTAGACGGGACATACTTGTGTATAAGGGAGGATAGATAGGTGGGAGCAGCATTATGTAGAGATTTGAAAGCAAGAACCAGAATTTTAAATTGAGCCCTATATTTTATATGAAGTCAATGTAAGGACTGACAGAAGGGTGAGGCATGGGAGGTGCGGGCGGACAGGAAGATTAGCCTTGCAGCTGCATTAATTATGGACTGTAACGGCGCAAGTTGGGAGCACGTAAGACCACTGAGAAGCAGATTACAGTAGTCAAGGCGAGAAAGGACAGTGGAATGGATCAACAACTTAGTCGCATCTGGCATTAAGTAGGGGTGGATGCGCGCAATGTTTTTGAGATGGAAATGACAGGATTTGGCGATAGATTGAACATGAGGTTTGAAGGAGAGGTCAGAGTCAAAGAGAACACCTAGGCAGCGAGCCTGCATAGTGGAGCTGATGGTAGCACCATAGACTTGGAGGGAGACAGACACAGGAGTAACAACACTTGAGGGAGGAAAGACCAGAATTTCAGTTTTGGTCAAGTTTAGTTTAAGGAAGTGGGCAGCCATTCAATTAGAGACAGCAGAGAGGCAGGGAGAGATCAGGAGAGGACAGGTAGATTTGCGTGTCATCTGCATAGAAATTATATTGGAAGCCAAAGGAGCTAATGAGTTTACCAAGGGAGGCAGTATAGATGGAGAACAGTAGGGGACCAAGGACTGAACTTTGGGGGACACCAACAGAGAGGAGTTGGGGAGAAGAAGCAGAGCCAGAGAAAGAAACACTGAAAGAGCGCTGGGAGAGGTAGGAGGAGCACCAGGAGAGAGCAATATCTTGTAGACCGATATTGCGGAGAATGAGAATAAGCTGTTGATGATCAACAGTGTCAAAAGCCGCAGACAGGTCAAGGAGAATTAGGATAGAGTAGTGACCACGAGATTTTGCAGCAAGTAGATCATTGGATACTTTGGTCAGTGCCGTTTCCACAGAGTGCTTAGCGCGGAAACCAGACTGAAGCGGGTCTAGCAGAGAGTTGGACTCGTGGATGCAAAAGGCAGTAGCGAGATAGGACAATAGTTGGATAGGGAGTGTGGCGAAACCATAATTAGATTCCTTCCCCAATTATCTCCAGGCCAGAGGGGAGGGATGGTGAGGCATTGTGGGTGGTAACTCATGTGTGATTGGTGTATTGTGTAATTGTTGTAAATCCCTCCCTTGCATGGGAGAATCCTTTATAAGCCTGTTGTGTGAATAAATCAGGGTTGTTCCTGTTTAACCCTCCAAGTGAAGTGTCGTCTCATTCTTGGGGGGAATTTGACTGTATGCCGATTGCCAGGAGTGTAAGCTGTTCTTAGGGCTTTTCCTGTTCGGCTGCTCCCAGGGTTCGTGTGTTTCCTGTTCGGGAGTTGGGGATTCGTACAGTTTGGAGTTCGGGAGATTGGTGATTGCAGTAGCTGCTGGTCTATGGGAAAGGGGATTATCGCCTTAACGTTTTTAACCCCTTTTGGGCAAAACGGTCTGTTACAATTGGTGGCAAGCGACGGGATCATTTCCACAGCCCAAATTTAGGGCAACGCCAGTACCCGTACAGCGACCCTATCTACAAAAGAACCAACTTCAGCAGCGCAAGCATGGCACCCAGCTACACTCAGGAGCAGTATGACAGAGAGTTTACCATGCGGCTGGCTTTCTTTGGACCCAACCCCCCGGAGAAATACATGCAGTTCGTAAGGAGCCAGGTAGACGAGTACCTGCAGTTCATGGCAGATCCAGCCAAAGGTATCGGCCGCCCTATCCGGTGGCAGAGTGCGTTACGGGGACTCAAAGGTGTACCCCAGGGAGCTGAAGGTGTCGTCCTTCCTCCCCAGCGGCAGAGTAAGTCCCAGGGAGCTGAAGGTGCAGTCCTTCCTCCCCAGCGGCAGTGTGTATCCCAGGGAGCTGAAGGTGCAGTCCTTCCTCCCCAGCGGCAGTGTGTATCCCAGGGAGCTGAAGGTGCGTCCTTCCTCCCCAGCGGCAGTGTGTATCCCAGGGAGCTGAAGGTGCAGTCCTTCCTCCCCAGCGGCAGTGTGTATCCCAGGGAGCTGAAGGTGTCGTCCTTCCTCCCCAGCGGCAGTGTGTGTTCTTAGGAGAGGAGACAGTTGGTCCCTCTCCCCAGCGGTCAAGTGAGTCCCAGGGAGCTGAAGGTGTCATCCTTCCTCCCCAGCGGCAGATTGTATCCCAGGGAGCTGAAGGTGTCGTCCTTCCTCCCCAGCGGCAGAGTGTCCTGCAGGGAGCAGAGACCGTCAGTCTCGCACCCCAGCAGCAGGACAAAATATTGAAAGGGGAGACAGCTGGTCCCCCTCACCACCAGCAGAGAGAGTGTCAGGGAGAGGAGCCTGCTACCCCCTCTCCCCAGCGGCAGGTTACAGTTCAGAGAGAGGAGCTTGTTACACCCTCTCTCCAGCTGCAGTCTAACCCACCAAGGGGAGATGTTACATCCCCCAACAGTGCAGATGGGACCGTAGTCTTTACACTTGCAGCACAAGGGGTAGGGACGGTCGGTCCTGTCCCCCAGCCCCAGAGCTGTGTACCCAGAGGGGAGACGGTCAGTCTCCCCCTCCCACAACCAGGCTCCAACCAGGCTACTTCAGTGGTAGCGCTGGCACCAGGGCAGAGTACCGCTGGTCTCTGCCCACTCAGCAACCCACCAAGGCAGCCTAACAGTTCCCCACACAGTCGTAGTGAGGCACCTGGACATGGACAAAGCTCTCCTCTACCCAGGTGTAGTAACCAGTTATTGTGGTGGGCTGTACTGCTGTTTCTGTTTTGTGGGTGGGTTGCTGGACTAACCAGGGCACTGACCGGCAGGAGGTCAGATACCCTGTTAGTCTAGTTGGTAAAGAGGAGAAGTGTGGCGAAACCAACCTCGCCACTGTGAACTGGAGAAGCCTGGTTGCTCGCCTGCTCCCTTTGGACTATGGCCCTGCAGGTTAAACCATTTATTTTCCCTGCAGAAAGGCTTATTCGTGTGATCTGAGTGCCATTCATCTAATAATGTGCGCTCAGATCAAAGCTATCTGGGGATGTGTAGAAATGTGTGTTTTATGTACTAAATGTATCAGTATGTAATTTTATGTCTTTTACTGTCTTTTGTCTGCCATGTGGGTAATGGAGTTTTGCCTCTGTCCTGGGAGATAATTAGATTCCTTCCCCAATTATCTCCAGGCCAGAGGGGAGGGATTGTGAGGCATTGTGGGAGGTAACTCATGTGTGATTGGTGTATTGTGTAATTGTTGTAAATCCCTCCCTTGCATGGGAGAATCCTTTATAAGCCTGTTGTGTGAATAAATCAGGGTTGTTCCTGTTTAACCCTCCAAGTGAAGTGTCGTCTCATTCTTGGGGGGAATTTGACTGTATGCCGATTGCCAGGAGTGTAAGCTGTTCTTAGGGCTTTTCCTGTTCGGCTGCTTCCAGGGTTCGTGTGTTTCCTGTTCGGGAGTTGGGGATTCGTACAGTTTGGAGTTCGGGAGATTGGTGATTGCAGTAGCTGCTGGTCTATGGGAAAGGGGATTATCGCCTTAACGTTTTTAACCCCTTTTGGGCAAAACGGTCCGTTACAATTAGGGAGTTAGGGTCAAGATTGGGCTTCTTTAGAATTGGGGTTACAGTTGCATGTTTGAAAGGCAATAGAAATATACCAGAGGAGAGAAAGAGATTGAGAGGTGGAGAAAGAGAAGACAGAGTACGGATGAGATGCAAGGGAATTGGATCTAGGGAGCAGGTGGTGGGGCGGGAGGACTGGAGCAGAGCAGAAACCTCTTCCAATGTAGCGGGTGCGAATGAACAGCAGAGGGAGTGAAGTTAGGGGAAGTATTGTAAGGGGAAGAAGAAAGATGAGAGATCTCTTCTCTGATTGTAGAGATCTTGTCAGTGAAGTTGCAAAGTCTGAGGCGGTCAAGTTAGTAGGTGGAGGAACAGCAGGGCGAAGAAGAGAGTTAAATGTGTGTGTAATAATCATTCTCCTGTGAGCACCGCACTGCTACCGGCTCTGGCATCAGTAAGCGGCGCGCGAGGGAGCTCAACAGGAGCATCCGTGCTCCCTCGCCACCTACAGGACTGGCTGCTGGGCAGCCCCACTCGACCCCAGGGAATCCCCTCAGAACTCCCAAAGGTACATACCGGGGTCGCAGCTGCGGCCGGGCCCAGCTCACCAGGGGGCCCGGCCGCCCTGCGACCGGGTATGTTTGCCAGCCTCTTCTCTGGGGGGGCCCAGAAGCTGGCCACCTCAGGGTGCCCCTGAGGCTGGCAGTGCTGTCACCGAGCAGGCGCATTCTCCCCTGAGTGTTCTCTGCCCAGCTCCCTCGCACTGATACCGGAATATGACGTCATTCCGGCTCCGGTATCCGTAAGCGGTGGGCAAGGGAGCAGAACAGGAGCATCAGTGCTCCCTTGCCGCCTAGAGGACCGGCCGCTGGGCAGCCTCACTCGACCCCAGGGAATCCCCTCAGCACTCCCAAAGGTAGGGAGGCTAGGAGATTAAATAATAAAAAAAATTTTTTTAAAAAGTGTGTTAGTGTGTGTAGCGGAGATGCAATATTCCCCAGGTTATCTCCGCTTATAATCCAAGTGAGGCTCAGGAACAAGTAAATGGCAAATCCACAGGCAAGGTTTCCAGCAGGCAAAATAACAGCAGTATCCCAACAGCAATCCCAATAACTGGACAACACACAGTTTCAGGAGCAGAACTGAAAGCTTTATTCCACACTGGCCTTTTAAAGCATGCTCCCATGCAAGGGAGGGATTTACAGTCATTAGTACAGTAGCCAATCCTGTCCTGGTAACCTCCCACACATCTCCTCCCCTCAGCCTGCATCATAATCCCCTTATCCAGTACAGCAATTCCCCCCATTTCTGGATGTACCCCTAAACGTAGGGGTACCCCCTTAAATCATACATCCCCTGGTAGCCCTGATCTGGGTGAACAACATATCCAAAAATCACCCAGATCAGACCAGGTGTTCGGGAAACTTATGGAGGGAATAAAATGACCGACCGCACTGAGTGAAGCATCCGAATGCGGTTCCATGTGAATGGGCCCTGCGGTTGGTCCTGGAGTCAAGGAATGAATGGCACGAAAACCTCTAGCTATAGAGGCTAGGGAGGGTTCGCCTGAATCCCCGAGGGGCCGTTCGGTAGATAGGAACCGAACGGACCGGGCTTGTGGAGGTTTCAGCGGTGTTCGCCTAGTCGAGTGTCCGATTTGAGTTCCAGACACTCGACGTCAAAACACCGCTGTTCGGGAGTTTTAAAATGGCCGCCGCCACGTGTTCGTTTTTCGAATGGCGGCCACCCCCGAGAACAAAGGACGGCTACTTAACTTGTCAATTGTAATTGAGGACACACTTCACACAGGGGAGGTCTGATTGTTCGGTAGTTTCATTCCCTTAGTTTATTCAAATGATTCTACCGAACAATCAGAGGAATACATTTCTTTTAAACACATATAAAACCAGCAGTTTACACGAATGCAACTATTCACATGACATTTGCAGGACAGCCCAGTGCCATCCGCTACAGTGTGTCTGTTACTGAGTGTGTTTGTGTGTGTCTGTTATTGAGTGTCTACTAGTGAGGGTCAGTGTGTGTTATTGAGCGTGTTAGTTTGTGTGTCTGTTAAAGAGTCTGTTTGGTGTGTGAGTCTGTCAGGAAATGTGTGTATGTGTCTGTTCGTGAGAGTGTGTGTGGTTAAAACTCTTTCAACACTTACCTTTCTCCAGCGCCAGGCTCTCTTGGGATCTCTCCGCTCCCCTCTCAGCTCCGAATGCGCATTCGGGGCAAGAGCCGCACGCGCATTCAAACCGCCCATAAGAAAGCATTACTCACTGCTTTCCTATGGACGTCCAGTGTCTTCTCACTGTGTTTTTCACAGTGAGAATTGAGGAAGCGCCTCTAGCGGCTGTCAGTGAGACAGCTACTAGAGGCTGGATTCTCTGAAACTATGTTTTCAGCTGCAGGGTTAAAACTAGAGGAACCTGGCACCCAGACCACGTCATTGAGCTGAAGTGATCTGAGTGCCTATAGTGGTCCTTTAAGTGTTTGTATCTGCATGCAATGGCGTACATAGCGCGATTGCAGACAAGGTGCCCGCCGCCATGTGTTGGGGCCATGACCCGCGTAGAGTAAGCGGGGGGGTGGCCCACGGATCAATTTTCGCACCGGGGCCCCGTGGATCGTGTGTGTACGCCACTGCTCCTCAATCTTGTTAGATTGAGCATTCACACATCAATCTTGCTCTTGCAACGTCATGCAATTATTTTCAAGTTTACACAATGTTCAAAGAATCTTTGGAAACAGTAATGCTTGTTATCTAATCTTCAAATCTCTATAGTATATTTACTGCAGCACTCAAAAGAAACTAAGCCTGTAAATTGCTTTTTTTCCCTTCGTGACGCAGCAGAAACTAAACCTCGTACAATGTTAGTTTCACTTTTACTCACAATCTACATAAACCGTTTTAACAATTTCTAAACACAATTTTCTTATTTTAAACGATTCTTAACAAATTTTAACACAATATTCTTAGTTAAACTATTTTAAATTGTTGATTTCAAATTTACTTGTTCAACTAATACTCAACCCTGCTTGCAGCGCCAAAATGTTGTGCCTAATCATTAAATTCATGAACACCAATATGCAGAAAGTAATAATCAATACCTAATAAGGTTTATAATGATATTGGTGGGCACACAACCCAGTTCGGGATGAGTATCTTGAACTATAGGAAAGAGAAATCACACAGAGACCAAGTTGGATTTAAGAATTCACGCCACACTTTTTTTGTCCACAAAAGGGACTCAATACAGTAAGCTTTACTCTTTAAGTTGTTGCATGCATTCACTTCAAACAGCTTAGTATCTAGATATATCTGCTTAAGTATAAATTACCATTAGAGGGGCTTGGTTGTCTCCTTGCTGCACATGACTGGGGGAACTCAGGCAGTCAGACTTGGAGGGACCCTCTCTTCTGGGAACAGCAGAGACCAGCAATACGTGTCCGTATTACAGGTGGGTAGTTTTCCAAGTGAGTGCCAAGTTTCTCCATCTTTTATACCTTTTTACCAACAAGATATAGTCTTTACTTTTCCAAGTTATCAGTGCAGCCCAGCATGTAAATATCATGCGCATTAAGTGATCCGCAGCATGGATCCTCTTGGGCCAGGTGATGTCTGGAGAGGTGGCAGTGGCTGGACAGGTAGTGGTGTGATGGATGGCTCTTGTGCAGTTACACTGTGGGTAGTCTTAAAGCTGGACCCTGGGCTTATGTCCTCCTCCAGGGATCAGGCAATCAATTCTGCAGAAGACAGCGCCACCTCAATCACACTCTCCTAATGTGACCGGAGGACTGGTTAATGAAGCGAGCTGTTCTCTTTGCCTCTCCCAACAGATTGCCTTTGACCTGAAATAGAAGAGAGAGGCAATGTTGGTAACATGCAAGCAAATGGATTTGTGGACATGTTGTAGACCTTATTACATGTATCCGTGAGCTGTGTGTCCGCTTCCAAGTGGAGATGAATGCGCATTCTCGGCCAGAGAAGCGGGCGCATTCAAACCCGCCTATAGAAAAGCATTACTCAGTGCTTTCCTATGGGGATCTTCTTTGACACTGGACTCCATGAGGAGACAACGACTAGAGGCTGGATTAACCCTGCAGTGTAAACATATTAGTTTCTTTGAAACTGCCATATTTTCAGCTGCAGGGTTAAAACTAGGGTGATCTGGCACCCAGACCACTTCGTTGAGCTGAAGTGGTCTGGGTGCCTGTAGGGGTCCTTTTAGGAGATAAAAATTGTACCTGTTAAATAGATACAGTAACCCCAGTGGCGTACTAACGGGGGTGGGGGAGGCTGCCCACCCGGGGTGCCACTCACTAGGGGATGCAATGACTGGCAGTGTCATAAGTCACCACCCCCCATCAATTCATATGGTGCATTTGCGGCCACACTATACTGCACTGATTGCAGCAATATGGAGGAGCAGTGGCAGGAGTTTTGCAGCGTCACTCAGTGTGACGCTGAAGTCACGCAGACGTGTGTTGCTGCAGCCTGTCCACCTTAACGGAGCGGAAGGATCCATCATCCTGTGAAGCACCAGTGGTCGGAGGCTCGGAGCAGAGCAGGTCAGCGGAGAGGCATTATCAAATGTGAGTAGAGAATATAATTTTATGTGAAGGGAGGGTTGGGGAGGTGCAGGTTTTTTTTTTTATTTTATTTTTTTTATTAAGGGGATGTGCAGGCTTTTCTTTTAATTAAGGTGGTGTGCATGTCTTTTTTATTACTTAAGGGGGGGTTGTGCAGGGTTTTTAATTAAGGAGGTGTGTGCAGTTAATGGGTGTGCAGGATTTTTTATTAAGGGGGGCATGCAGGGGTTTTATGTGTAGGTTGGGTGTATGAATTTGATGTGTAGGTGGGGTGCAGAATTTTTATGTGTAGGGGCTGTATGCAGGGCTGCCATCAGAAATTTTAGGGCCCCTGACACAGCTCAAGATCTGGGCCCCCAGGGCCAGCCCTGAGTCCGCCCACAAGGATAAAGTGTGTGTGTGTGTGTATGTATAGTGGATGTAGAATGTATGTAGTGGATGTGGTACGTGTGTCATAGATGCAGTGTGTATAGTGGATGCAGATTGTAAGTTTTGTGTAATGTGTACATGCATTAGATGCAGTGTGTGTAGCGAATGTAGCGTGTGTGTGTAGCGAATGCAGCGTGTGTAGTGCAGAGTGGGCCCAGCAGCACTGTCTTCCTTTCCAGCTCGTCTGACTAACTCTCATGAGACCGGCCTGCGTGCTTTGCGGAGTGTTGCCATGGTAACCCGTGGCAACGCTCTGGCGGCCGCAGGAAAGTTAGACAGAGAGCAGCTGGAAAAGAAGTAAGAGAGTGTGCTGCTGGGACCCCCTCTGCAATTTACAGGTAGCAGGGGACCCTCAGTGCACAGATAGAGAATATATATATATATATATATATATATATATATATATGTGTGTGTATGTGCACATAAGAAATGTGGGGCTCGGACTGCCAGAGTAGTCCGGGCCCCCCAGGACCGTCAGGGCTATGACAACCTTTATGGCGGCCCTGGCTGTATGAACTTTGTGAAGTTGGTGGAGTGTTTTTTGTGTAGGGGGATGTGCAGGTTTTTGGGTTTTTTTTAATTAATGGGGGGGTGTAGGTTTTATTTTATTTTTTATTAAGAGGTTTGCAGGTTGTTGTTTTTTTTTTTTTTGGTTTTTTTTTTGGTATCCAATTATTAAAATTTAAAAAAAGGTAAATTTTTATGATTCAAAATTAAAAAGGGCATTAAGGTGGGTGAATGTGAAAGGGAACTGCAAGATCTAGACTAAAGTAGCTGATACGGTAAAAGCGCAGAATTTGAGAATATTTTTAAGCTGTTTTGGCCCAGATGTTGAATTTACTTGCAAATTCACTCACAATTTTTGGAAATGTTTTGGAATAGAATGTTATAAAGGGACACTATTGTCACACAGACCACTTCTTTAAGATGAAAGTCTGGTCCTGTAGGTTTAACCATGCAATGTAAAACATTTCAGTTTGAGAAACTGCAATGTTTCCATCTGCATTGTTAAACACTCCTTCAGTGGCATAATAATAATAATAATAATAATAATTTGAACCAATGCTTTCCTATGGGGGAAATTTATGCGCATGCACATCAGGCCTCCAGTGCTCCTCTATGAGTACCGGGGCGGGCAGGGAGACGACCTTAGCAATAGGTGCTTTAGTGTTCATGCTATACAGAACTTGTTACCGACCATGCGAAGATTTGCGGCTGTCAAAAAATCGCTACTTTTCAGTCTGCTGATGTCACTCTCTGCCTCTTAAGGTTACTTATTCTGAAGGAAATGTCTCTAGCATTTTTGATAGTAAAGTTTAAACCTCGTAATCAGCATTCCAATATTAATTTTTTAAATGCCATTTTGGGATTTCAGCAGATATTTGACCTTTTGTGAGTAAATCTTAGACTAATCTGGCTATTTAATTGTCTACTGGAGGTAAAGGGAGCCTTGGGAGTGAAGTGAAAAAGCACCTCTATCAGTGATTTAAGCAAATTCTGCATTGATTGGCTAGATTACCAAGAATGGCATTAGTTAAAGGGTTAATCCAACCATCATGACAACTACAGTGATTTGAAGTGGTCATGGTGTCTGGAGTCTGCATGTGCAGCGTCTCGCTGGGAAGTGCTGCGCATACAGAGATTAAGCCCTTTACTCCCAAAAGGTGTAACTCTACCTCTGGCACTGTTCACTGGTGTGCCATTGGCTTGCTAATGTGAACTTTCTTTGCACTGGGTGCCATTAATTGGCTGAGAACGGTTCGCTGAATCTGATGCTTTCAGCCAGTGAATAGCCAGCAGGATTTGCATAACAGCTGTGCATAAGCTGTTCTGCTGTGAAGCAGGATTTGACAGCATAACAGGTGCCTGGCAAGAGGGCCAGGGTACTCTTGGCACTAGTTACGCATTATAAGTAATGCTTTATGTATGAGTGTGTCTTTTTTTTTTTCTTCATTTTATAAAAAGTTCAGATTTTATTAGAAATTATCACTTTTAAATAAATTAACTTGGTAACATCACCTAGCTTTCAAGCAGACAACTGGTCAGTTTACTTCCTGGTTTGGTTAGCTCAGCTGAGCTAAACTCCATAGGCAGTCAATAGCCCAGAGCACCTGCCTTGCAAGGAATACTCAGCTGCATTTGAAAGTCTGTGATTGGACAGCTACAGAAAGCCTGGGCGGGGGATAGAAGGGGAGTGCTTGCAAAGACGGCAGACAAGAACTGCTGGTTCTGCAAGCTGTTAGATATTGCCCCAATGAAAAAATGCACAAATTAAATGCATGTATGTTTTCATTGGGGGTAAATCGTCTAAACAGAGATTTTTATTTGTTTATTTTTTTATTTTATTCTATATTTTAATTTTTTGGGGGGGCAATGGAGTGTTCCTTTAATGCTGAATAAACGCTGTTCATTATTATTTATCGTTAGTGTTTGTGTAGTCACCAGAACTTGGCTGAGGTGTGCTTGGAGCCGACCCCCCGCCACATGAGGTTGATGAACCTTGGAAAAAAAGAAAAAAAAAGTAAAGCAAAAGGTAAGTTCACATTTATAATAGTGAATTATAGTGAACTTTAAAACAATGTCATCATTATAATGATGAAATTAATTTTACTTACTGAGAGTCTGATTGCAAGCTTTTAAGACCAAGTTGCATGCATTACTGAGGCTAAAACAAAATTCATAATAACACATCAGATTTAACAGCTTTGAGTGAGAGGAAAAAAGGAGGGGGGTGAAAGATGCAGGATATTAACAGAAATCTGTTTGGAGGACATTTCTGTCAACCATGGATACAGTATCCAGGATGTGAAGCTTTTGGTACATTTTTGAGGGGGAGGGCAGGATTGTTCCACTGTTAGAGGGAGAGAAAAATATGGTTGGTCTAGCTAAATATGTCAGTTTAAGGCCTTAAGAGAGACAGTGAATTTATTTCACAATATAACTTTACTAATTAATAATCTTTCTACAAGCACTGGATTACTGCAGTAAAATTATTTAAAATGGCAAATATTTGACACCTTCATATTTCTTGCATGTGTCTAACTAGGAAGTGAAGTGATCATGGATGCTCTGACCAAATCAGATTTGATCTGTTGGATCTCTGTAGAACTGGCTAATTTACTGCTGTTCTACTCTTATAACTATTTTACTCACCAGCTCCCTCCTGCAAAGCTGGCTCTTCCGTATCAGCACCAAGTCTGAGAACAGCCTCTGAAAGGAACCCGTCTTTGAGCCACGTCTGCCACTCACTGAATCCCACAGCGGACTGCAACGACATCTTCCTTTCCACCACCACCTTGCAATCATAGTACCTGTAAAACCCAGCATTGGTTATTAAGTACATAAGAAATTGACAAAAAGTTAACAATAATAATGTCTTATTAAAATATGATGGCTTGCTTCCACTATCAGGTTAGTCTCGACACTGACCGGGGAGTAGAAGATTTTAAACATTACATTTAGAATGTAATTTGCTTATTAGATTGTTATTGCTAGCTACATGATAAGAAGTTACTATTTTATGTCATTTGATTATTAATTAACCAATATAGTTACATAGCTGAAAAGAGACTTGCGTCCATCAAGTTCAGCCTACCTCACATTTGTTTTTTGCTGTTGATCCAAAACACATACATGTCTAATGGATTCGCTCCAAAAGGTGCCCAGTGCCACTCTCCCTCCAAATACAAATTTTGAAATGGACTGGAGAGGGAGGGTGTGTGTGTGTGTGTGTGCCGTTTTCTCTCTAATGGTTTGAAATTGGACCACCAGGTCCCTGGGTGCAGCGGTCGGTGCCTTCCGTGGTTTGGGTATGCGGAACACTCCTGTGAAGGCTATGTTCTTGGCCTGTCGTGGCGTGAGTAGGGATGCCATCAGTCTCCATAGGAAATGCGGGATTTCCGCCTCTGGTATGTCCTCGGGTACTCCTCTTAGCTTGCGGTTCTTGCTACGTCTCCTGTCTTCAAGGTCTGTGAAGCGCAGGTCCATGGTGGCCTGTTGCTTCTTGAGGGCCAGGACCTCTTGAGTGAGGGCAGCGGTCTTCTGGGAGTCTGTGTCAGCCCCCAGCCTGCCCACGTGGCCTGTGCGATCTGCCTGGAGCGAGGCCACGCCTGCCTGGATCGTTGTCTTCAGGTCAGTGAGCATCTCCCGCAGGGCTGCCTCTGTCACCGGCGTCAGTGCTCCGAGGGACTGGTTGTGGGTGAGCCGGGGCCGGTGTTGCAGTGTTGCTCAGACTCAGCGAGAAGTCATCTGAGGAGTCTGAGTAGTCGGTGATGTTGGCCGCCATTTTGGGCTTGACGGAGCATTTCCCCGATGTTTATTCCCGGCCTGGGTTTGTCGGGTTTCTGCTTCTTAAGCTTTCGCCCCATGTTGGTCAGGGCTATGTTTTTTGCATTTTTGGGGTGAAATTTATGCCTTTACCTCCTATTCGGAATCTGCCACTGCCATTATTTTTCATACTAATTCCAAATCCACTGGATTGATATAAATATTTCTATCCAAGTTCCCCTATTTTGAAGCATTTTTTAAAGCATCTTTTGAGGTGACTTAATTAGTCAGTGTAGCTTTGTGTCCATTTCATATTTTGATGATCTTTTCTACATTTCCATCTTGCATTTAGCTGCATTAATTAGATATGACTAGTTTTTTTCTGTTCCTTAAATGTATATGCACCCACTTATCTGTTTTGAATATACTTGGGAGTTCAAGTTCCACAATCCTTATACATGTTTAGTACGTTCTAATAAAGGTTATTTACCCCATTAATGTGACCCTTTTACACTAGGAGGTATTTCTGAGTGGGCTAGGTTTTCCACCCATTTGTTGTGAGTGGATCCCCTACCCTATTCTGTGCTGTCTCTATTCTGTATTAATTTCGGGGTTAAGCCCCTATACCTCCTGTAACCTTTTCTTTTGGAGGAGTGGTGATAGTATTCATTCTATTACCTCTCCCCCTTCTCTTCTTTTCTAATTGTAAATACATTCCCAATTCATTCTTTGTTATGTTAGATGTGTAGTATAAAGAACAGGTGATGTATATGAACACGATGTTAAAGCATTCTTAATTATTCAGAAATGCATTTAATTTAAGAATACTGATTAAAAACGCACAAGTTGAACTTTATATCTTGTATTTTAAAATGCCATCGAAATAAACGTACTATAACAAATTGGGAGTAATCCTTGAGTAACTATTTGAATAAATGTTACAGTACATTGAAATTAAATTTTAAACGGCTTTATAATCTACTAAATAGACATTAGCAATATGGATTAACATTATCAGTCATAATGAATATAAAACAATGAGTGCAAATTACTTATTGCACTGATCTCATTACAACAATAACCTGGGGAAACACTTCAAATTCACCTTATTGAAATCTGGACCACTGTGCCTACTATTGTGAGTTATCCATATGTATACCTCCTTTAGATATTTTCTAAGTGAAAGATCTACAAGTGGTGGTGGTCCAAAATACGATCCCACCTACACTCATAGAGAAACACCTAATTGGATACTCCAGAGGTGTCCTCGGGCTTAACCCCTGTGCGTAGAATCAAAAAAATACTCCCACCACTGGATAGAATATCCAGTCGCTTAGAGTATAAACTGGAATTAAATTAAGAATGAAAAACTCATAGTAATGTTAAATACTTGATAAATAAAGAAATGATGACAGTACAACATAGATACCCATTCCTAATAGTCAGAATCCAATGGATAACAATCTTGCCTAATGGCACACCTCCAACTGCCCTAGTCAGAAAATGTATATAAATATATCTCTATAATGCTACAGACTTTAATTATATCTCATGAGGTCAATGTCTTAGAGCATAGAGATTAAAACGTCATGTCCCTGGGATAGTAAGACATATGTATGTACCTAGGGAACTGGTCAAGAGACCAAATGCTAACTATATATCTGAAGGACTGTCGGTAGCTTAATGAGAGGGTCTCAAAAACAAAGAGACACTACCTAATAAGTCTGAGTACAGATAGACTAATACGGTGGGTAAAAAAGACGGGCTTATGAGAACACAGCTACAAAATGCCTCAACATAGCTAGAGAAAAAACTGCTACAGTTGAATAAATAGTGCAACTTAGATATAGTGTATCTTATGGTCGCAGATTGAAATTCAAGGATGAGCCACTATAGCCCTTCCTGCCACTGTATCAGCCTTAAATATTTAAACAAAGCAAGGTTCAAGACCAGTAAAGGAGGTGACAAAGTAGAAATTAAAGCGTACTTACTTTATTGTTGGTTGCCTGCACATGTCAATAGAGTGCCCAGTGAAAGTTAAGTGACAGAAAGAAAAAGAAACCCGACGCACGTTTCGGTGCTTCGGTAGTGTGGCTCCTCACCCATTATGACCAGTCACTGCAGACCTACAATCCCCACATAATTAAAAGGAGCTAACATATAGCGTATCAGGTTCATGTTCGTGCTTCCAAAAAGTATGGTGCAGATGGGACATCTTCCAGTCCCAGGTTACTGCCCCTTCATCCCAGGTCACTGTCCTTCCTGCTTTAGTCTCTTTGATTTACGTTGGTTAGAAATGCATTTTTTGTTCTGTTAAAACTATGTAAGGCCGAGCATCAACTTTTTATGTGTGAATGTCGTAGTGCCAATAACAGTATTGAGATGTGAGATGTTAGAAGAATTTTGCAATTATGTATCTTTGGAAAATCCTGGCAACATTTAGTTTAAAAAAGTTGCCAATGGCGGAGCTAAGCACTGAAAGAAAACAGACGTGTCTGCACACCGCTCCGGGCCAAAACGCAATAAACCCAGATCGCCCAGCGGAATTTCACCCCAAAAACGCACAAAACATAGCCCCGACCAAACATCTTTTGGAGGAGTGGTGATAGTATTCCCCCTTCTCTTATTTTCTAAGTAACTCTGAAGGTCGGATCATCCACAGGTCGTATAAGTATCTATTATTTAATATTTATAAACTGTATTACACATGATTGCTACTAGATTGCTGATAACTGTATGATAATATTTTCAAGTACTTCTCCTTGACACGCTAAGGCACCTAACCTAGGGGAAAAATTATGGCTATGTAAGACACCAGACTCTAGAAGATGAAGGGACAGGGGAGGAGGGGCATCGGGACAGCTCTTTCACAACTACACAAGTTCAAGATAAAAACATAACCAAAACACACACACACACACACACACACACAAAAAAACACAACCTGGGACCAATCATCAACCTTTGGGCCCTCAGAGACCCCTGCCGTTACAACATCTCACACCTCCACTATTAATCTTCCACATACGCACTAAGTGCCGACACACCTGGATATCAATAACCTATTAAAACTGCATCCCTAATGCACACAATTCAGTGGTTAAACACACTTTCCACTAATGTTTTACAGTGGGCAAACCACTTGGAAACACGAACCACACACCATTTCTTACACACTTCACACCCCTCCACTACAGGCGGTGTCACAAACACAACACATTACCCTCTGTGGTATCAGGACCACCACAGGGGCCGACACCAGCCTACATAGTTTCACCAAGGTATACCGCCTCACACACACAAGAAACGATTTGTTGTACATAGTTATTTGTTATACTTGAAATTGTTACACCTATTATTTTGTTTTAGTTGCACATCCCGGGACAACCCTATCAGCATCAGGGACAAAGCTGAACATCTCCTGACATACTCTCCACCACAGCAGCCTTAACCAACCGAATTCAAACTGCCACAAATGGCCTCTATTACAATGATCTCCCACAACGCGCAGGGCTTAAACACACCCGAAAAGCTAAGCTTAGGTTAGAATGGCCGGGTTAAGCACACTAAGAATAGTCAAGTAAAGGGAGCCAGAAAACACGAGAACGAGAAACAAGCCAAGGTCAAAGGAATGGAGAATACAGGAAAGTCGGAATAACGAGCCAAATAAACGGTAACCAGAGAGCATCATGAGCAAACTGCAATACAGGTAACACAAGACCACAACAGGGCACTAAGAGACAGGAAAGGTAAGTATAAAACAGCTGTGCTTAATTCTGATTGGATAACTTCCAATCAGAATTAATAATCACATGTGGGAGATATCTATACCTCCCACTGTGATTAGGATACCGAGGCTTTAACGCCTGGCGTTTACAAATATGCGGGGACTCCCAGCGTGCAGTGTTACACATGCTGCCACTGGGAGGCGAGGAGGAGATCACGAGCGGCGTGTAGCGCAGAGAGGACGTCGCTCGCCGACAGGTAGGGGAAGGGGAGACCGCGCCCTGACATATCCCCCCCCCCTTCGAGGACCGGCAGGCGGGATGCCAAAGGCTTCAAAGGAAACCGCGCATGAAAGGAGCGGATCAAAGAGGGCACATTCAAATCAGAGGCAGAAACCCAAGACCGCTCCTCAGGGCCGTAATCCTTCCAATCCACCAGATACTGCAACCGACCTCGAGAAAAACGAGAATCAAGCAGAGCAGCCACTTCGTACACATCACTGGAGACCGTGCGGAGGGAATCCGGACGCCGGAGAGGACCAGAGAATCGATTACAGAGCAAGAGCTTCAAAAGGAAGGTGTGAAAAGTGTTAGGTATACGCATGGAAGGAGGCAAGGCCAGAGAGTAGGACACGGGATTCACCCTACGCAATACCTTATAGGGGCCAAGGAACAGGGGCGCAAATTTCATCGAGGGAACCCTGAGGCGGAGATTCTTAGAGGACAACCAAACCCTATCACCCGGGGCATAAGAAGAAGCCGCACACCTATAACGGTCAGCAAATCTCTTCTGAGTAGCAGCCGCACGGGAGAGAGCAGCATGGACCTGATCCCACATTTTCCGCAAGGAGGCAAGGTGCTCGTCCAAAGCGGGCATTCCCTTGTCGTAGAACACACCGGGAAGGACAGAGGGTTGGAAGCCATAAGCAACCATAAAAGGATTTAAGCCAGTGGACGAATGAGTATTCCTGGCGAATTCAGCCCAGGGAAGGAGATGAGACCAGTTGTCCTGGTGTGCATTAGTGAAGCAGCGTAAATATAACTCCACAGATTGATTAGCTCCATTGGATTGTGGATGATAGGAGGAAGTAAATGACAAGGAGATCTCCATCTCAGCACAAAAGCTCCACTGACAAATTGAGGACCCCTATCGGATACGATATCCTGAGGTATACCATGCAAGCGGAACACCTCTTTGGCAAATACCCGAGCCAACTGAACCGCAGAAGGTAGTTTTTTAAGGGGAATAAAGTGTGCCATCTTAGAGAACCTATCAGTCACAGTCAAAATTACTGTCTGTCCATCAGATGAAGGAAGATCTACAATGAAGTCCATGGTTTCTCGGGTACAGAAAGGGGCATTAGGAGTCCCGGGGGTTTAATGTTAGGGGATTTACACTGTGTGCAAACACGACAAGCCTGCACATAATCTACCACGTCTTGTTTAAGTGAGGGCCACCAAAACTGTTGAAGAAGACCCCCTTGTATGTTTTGGTAACCCCTGGATGACCAGCAGTTTTGGCGGTGTGAAATAAAGCTAATAACTTCTTCTGTCTTTTTCTTTCACGTATAATCTACCAACAGGTGCCTCAGAGGGTGCTTGGGATTGGTATGTCTTGATACCATCAAGGAAAAGAGACGAAATAACCAAACGGGTAGCAGCTATTATCTTAGATGTAGGTACAATGGTTTCAGGAGCGGGGGCAATCGACTCCAAAGGTTCGTACTGTCTGGAGATAGCATCAGCCTTGACATTACGGTATCCAGGCCTATATGTGATAATGAACTGAAAGAGTGAAAGAAATAAAGACCATCTGGCCTGACGAGAGGACAACCTTTTAGCATCTGCTATATAGGAGAGATTCTTATGATCAGTTATAACCAGGATTTTGTGTCTAGCTCCTTCTAATAAGTACCTCCATTCTTTAAAAGCCATCACAATAGCCAATAGTTTCCTGTTCCCGACGTCGTAATTCTTTTCCGAATCAGACAGCCTTTTAGAAAAGGGATGGAGGGGTTCGGTATGCGATTGTCTTTGTGATAACACAGCTCCTACACCTGATTCTGAAGCGTCTACTTCCATAACAAAGGGAAGGGAAGGATCAGGATGGTGTAGCACAGGGGCAGTGGCAAATGCCTTTTTGAGAGTCTCAAAGGCTTTAACGGCTTCAGGAGTCCAAACCCTGGGTTGCAAACCTTTTTTAGTCAGTTTCGTGATTGGAGAAATAACGGATGAAAAGTTTTTACTAAACCTCCAATAATAATTGGAAAAGCCTATAAATCACTGTATTGCCTTAAGGCCTTGGGGAAGAGGCCAAGACAATATGGCTTCTAATTTAGAAGGATCCATGCTGAATCCCTGTTCAGAAATGACATACCCTAGGAATTGTACTGATTTTTGGTCAAATAAACATTTCTCTAATTTGCAATAAAGAACGTTCTGCAACAATCTCTTAAGTACCATCCTCACATGAGTATGGTGTGACTTCAAATCAGGAGAATATACAAGTATGTTGTCAAGGTAAACTACGGCACAGATATGCAGTAAATCTCTAAGAACATCATTTATGAGGTCCTGAAACACAGCAGGAGCATTACACAGTCCAAAAGGCATGACTAGATACTCTTAATGCCCACTGCGTGTATTGAACGCTGTTTTCCATTCATCATTCTCTTTTAAACCAGGTTGTAAGCCCCCCTGAGGTCTAGTTTAGTATAATATTTAGAACCTTTAACACGATCAAACAACTCAGTGATGAGAGGGATAGGAGAAGCGTTTTTAACCGTTATATTATTCCGACCCCTGTAGTCTATACATGGCCTCAAATCGCCCTCTTTCTTAGCAACGAAAAAAGAAACCAGCACCAGCAGGAGAGGAGGGCCTTCTGATAAAACATTTACGTAAGGATTCCCGTATATGTACTCCTTCATGACCTGATTTTCTTTCTCAGAAAGCGGGTAGACCTTACCCCTAGGGGGCATAGTACCTGGTAACAGGTTTATGGCACGGTCATAATCCCGGTATGGAGGTAGCTTATCAGCCTCCCTTTTTTCAAAAACCAATGCGAGGTCTGCATACACAGAAGGGACAGAAACAGAAAGTGGTTTAGCTGTTGGCACATTAAGTAAACAAACAGAAAGTAAACGGGCCATACAGTCTCGTTGACAAGATTCCCCCAGGAGAGTATATCCAAACAACCCCAATCAAGTACTGGGTTGTGTTTAACTAACCAGGGAAAACCCAGAACAATGGAAGCTGTAGGGGAGTCAATTATTTGGAAGGTTAACCTTTCCTTATGTAAGGCACCCACAGTCATAACCATTTCTTGGGTTTCATGGGTCACCAGAGGTTTATCAAGTGGTCTACCATCTATGGCCTCAACGGCCAAGGGTGTGGCCTTTTGGATCAGAGTCAAGGTTGCGGTTTTAGCAAAGTTCTCATCCATAAAGTTGTCTGCAGCGCCTGAATCGATCAAGGCTTTGGTTTTTATGGTAGTCTGATTGACCAAAAGAGTAACCTTAATAAATGGTCTAGAGATGGAGACATGAGGGGAAAAAGTCATAACACCCGAGGCCGACCCCTCTCTAGGCCTTAGGTGCTGAAGTTTCCCTGCAAATTAGGACAGTTTCTTCGGAGATGCCCCCTCTTTCCACAGTAAAGGCATAACCCCTCTGTCCTGCGATATGCTCTTTCAGTTTCAGTCAACCCTATAGCACCCAATTGCATGGGTTCGGGAGATGGTTGAGGTAATGCAGTACTGGGTAAAGCAGGTAGCACCTATGTATTCATCCTACTTTGACTACGCTTCTCTCTAATACGGTTGTCAATGAGAATGATATAATCTATTACGTCATCCAAGAGAACAGGCAATTCCCTGGACACTATTTCATCTAGTATGTAAGCGGCCAAACCCTCCTGAAAGGCTGTTACGAGGGCGTCGTTATTCCAAACCACTTCAGCTGCTAGAGTGCGGAATTCAATAGTATAATCCGCTACTGATCTATTACCTTGTTGGACCCTAAGCAGAGCCTTGCCAGCTGAAGCAGCCCTACCGGGTAGATCAAATGTGCGTTTGAAAGCTGTCAAAAAGTCTGCAAAGGACATCGGGGACGTATTGTCCCACATGGGACTAGCCCATGTTAAAGCTTTCCCGGACAAGTGGTTAATTAAAAAAGAAATTTTGGTTCTATCAGTGGGGTAGGAACGAGGATTCATCACCAAATGACCACGACACAATGCTGGATCACCACTATAGCACTGTGGTGGCGTCATGTGAACCACGTGAGCAGGAACGGGTACTGGATCGGGAATGGGTTCTGGCACAGCAGCAACAGCTTCTTGAACGGCAGGTTGCAAGTGGGCAGTACGAGACAGTATGGTTTGTAAAGCCTGGGCAAACTGATCCATACGGTGGTCTAAACGATCCATTCTAGCCTCCTGATTTACTAACAGCTGTGGAATGTCAGCAGGTTCCATGGTGGCCCTGTTGTAATGTCACGATTCGGGAACCTAACACGCTAACAGGTCACAGGAAGGAAGGGTGCTATACCGGTCCTTAGAATGGCCGGGTTAAGCACACTAAGAATAGTTAGGAGACAAGCCAAGTAAAGGGAGCCAGAAAACACGAGAACGAGAAACAAGCCGAGGTCAAAGGAATGGAGAATACAGGAAAGTCGGAATAACGAGCCAAATAAACGGTAACCAGAGAGCAACATGAACAAACTGCAACACAGGAAAGACAGGAATACAGAGACAGGAAAGGTAAGTATATAACAGCTGTGCTTAATTCTGATTGGATAACTTCCAATCAGAATTAATAATCACACGTGGGAGATATCTATACCTCCCACTGTGATTAGATATTGTGGCTTTAACGCCGGGTCACGTGAGTGCCCTGACACCACTCTCCGTACTCGGCACCTCCCTTCATTCTCACTGTCAACCCTCAACACTCTGGCACCCCCCTCCATACACTCTGACACCCTCCTGCTCTTTTACACTCACCCTGCCACAGTTACCCCTTTACTCACCCTGTCACCCCCTGAAGGCAATCATTATACACGCTGTCATAAACTTGGTGCCAAAGACCACAGGCAGTACACAAACATACACATGCTCAGAGAAACATACATACATATACAAGGATACTCATTGCCAGACACACACTCTCAGGCACACACAGGTAGACAATGCAACGATGTATACAGTTGACTCATGTATGAGTTTCGCCTAAGGCCTCGCCAAGTCTAGAGCCGCCACTGGTCTAAGGTAAATGAAAGTTGTTGTTTTTTACTGTAAGAACAATAGGGATATGGAATTCTCTACCTGAAGAAGTAGTTTTATCAAAGGCTGTAAATATAATATTCAATTATATGATTTTTCAACTGTAGGGTAATAGCTTCTTGATCCAAGGATAAATCTGACTGCCATTCTGGGGTCAAGAAGGAATCCCTAGTTTGTTGTAAATGTGGAAGTGCTTTAAACTGTTTCTTTGCCTTCTTTTGGATCAACAGCAAAACACAGATGTGAGGAAGGCTGAACTTGATGGACACATGTCTCTTTTCAGCCTTTGTAACTGTCAGGATCCTATCCTGACAATCAAGATATTGTTTTATTTTATTGCTGCAATACCTGTTCTCTCCTCTAGTGGCCTCTCTAGCCACTAGTCAATCCTCAGTTGCACTCACCTGCCTCATATGATCTTCCAAGTCTGCTATAAAAGGCCACACCCAACTTTTCACATGGTCTATACATTGAAGTCAGTGTTCTGACATAGATCTTCTGATCCTGGCTCCTGAAAACATCCTGATCCTCTATTTAGACTCTGTGTGTCCCGTCGCCGGAATCCTCCTGAAACTCTTATCTTCAACTACTGCAACTCTGCAAGATCCTGTAAGCAACCTGTATTACATTATACTGAAATCTGTATAATCTGTATAATCAACTGCTGCAACTCTGCATAATCCTTTAACCCCTTAAGGACACATGACATGTGTGACATGTCATGATTCCCTTTTATTCCAGAAGTTTGGTCCTTAAGGGGTTAAGCAACCTGTACTATATTATACTGAAAGTACTTACCAGCTTTAACCATTTAAACCCTGTATCATCCTGAACCTAGCTGCAGTGTGACATTCCATAGACTACTAATCTATTTGGGAATAACGTCAAACCTACTTGTATATAAAATACTTTATTCATTTACTTTCAAGATATTCTGTTTGTGGCATATTGCTGTTTTACTCTCAAAGTATCCTTTTTGTGGCATATTGCCTTAATTCTTTCTTTCAAGTAAATTGTTATGTCTAAAAAGACAAAGTTTCAACCAATAACTCTGGCAATTGTCTCCTCTCTGATCGACCTGTTCATAGAAACATAGAAACATAGAATGTGACGGCAGATAAGAACCATTCGGCCCATCTAGTATGCCTAATTTTCTAAATACTTTCATTAGTCCCTGGCCTTATCTTATAGTTAAGATAGCCTCATGCCTATCCTACGCATGCTTAAACTCCTTTACTTTGTTAACCACTTCAGCTGGAAGGCTATTCCATGCATCCACTACCCTCTCAGTAAAGTAATACTTCCTGATATTATTTTTAAACCTTTTGTCCCTCTAATTTAAGACTGTCCTCTTGTTGTGGTAGTTTTTCTTCTTTTAAATATAGTCTCCTCCTTTACTGTGTTGATTCCCTTTATGCATTTAAATGTATCTATCATTATCCCCCCTGTCTCGTCTTTCCTCCAAGCTATACATGTTAAGATCCTTGAACCTTTCCTGGTAAGTTTTATCCCACAATCAATGAACCAGTTTAGTAGCCCTTCTCTGAACCCTCTCTAAGTTATCAATATCCTTCTGAAGATACGGTCTCCAGTACTGTGTACAATACTCCAAGTGAGGTCTCACCAGTGTTCCGTACAATTGCATGAGCACTTCCCTCTTTCTACTGCTAATACCTCTCCCTATACAACCAAGCATTCTGCTAGCATTTCCTGCTGCTCTATTACATTGTCTGCCTACCTTTAAGTCATCAGAAATAATCACCCCTAAATCCCTTTCCTCATATTTTGAGGTTAGGACTCTATCAAATATTCTGTACTCTGCCCTTGGGTTTTTACGTCCAAGATGCAATATCTTGCACTTATACACATTAAATGTCAGTTGCCACAATTCTGACCATTTTTCTAGTTTACCTAAATCATTTGCCATTTGGCTTATCCCTCCTGGAACATCAACCCTGTTACATATCTTAGTATCATCAGCAAAAAGACATACCTTACCATCAAGACCTTCTGCAATATCACTAATAAAATTATTAAAGAGAATGGGTCCAAGTACAGATCCCTGAGGTACCCCACTGGTGACAAGTCCAAGCTTCGAATATATTCCATTAACTACAACCCTCTGTTGCCTGTCACTCAGCCACTGCCTTACCCATTCAACAATATTGGAATCCAAACTTAAAGATTGCAGTTTATTGATAAACCTTCTATGTGCAACAGTGTCAAAAGCCTTACTGAAAACTAGGTAAGCAATGTCTATTGCACCACCCTGATCTAAAATTTAGTTACCCAATCAAAAAAATCAATAAGATTAATTTGGCATGATCTCCCTGAAGTAAACACAGGTTATCTCTGATCTTGAAATCCATATGTTTTTAGATGTTCAACAATCCTATCCTTTAACATGGTTTCCATTACTTTCCCCACTACTGAAGTAAGGCTTACTGGCCTATAGTTGCCCGACTCCTCCCTATTACCTTTGTTGTAAATGGGCACAACATTCGCTAACTTCCAATCTTCTGGGACTAATCCTGTTAACAATGATTGGTTAAATAAATCTGTTAATGGTTTTGCTAGTACACCACTAAGCTCTTTTAATAGCTTTGGGTGTATTCCATCAGGTCCCATTGACTTATTTGTCTTTACTTTTGACAGTTGAAATAGAACCTCTTCCTCTGTAAACTCACGTGTAATAAATGACTCATTTATCCTTTTTCTCAACTGAGGTCCCTTTCCTTCATTTTCATCTGTAAATACAGAACAAAAATATTCATTGAGGCAGTCAGCTAGACCTTTATCCTCTTCTACATACCTTCCTTCTTTTGTTTTTAATCTAACTAATCCTTGTTTTAGTTTTCTTTTCTCATTTATGTATCTAAAAAAAGTTTTGTATCCCTTTTTTACTGACTGTGCTATTTTCTCTTCTGTGTGTGATTTGGAAGCTCTTATAACTTGCTTAGCCTCTTTCTGCCTAATCTTATAGAACATTTTGTCTTCCTCACTCTGGGTTTTTTTTTATAATTACTAAATGCTAACTTTTTGTTTTTAATTATTTTGGCCACATCTGCGGAGTACCACAGTGGTTTCTTGAAATTTTTATTTTACTGACAATCCTAATGCAATTTTCTGTTGCCTTCAGTAGGGCAACTTTTAAATAATCCCATTTCTCTTGGACTCCATTTAAATTGCTCCAGTCTGATAATGACTCCTCTACACATATTCTAATTTTAGAAAAGTCTGTTTTTCTAAAGTCTAAAACTTTTATTTTTGTGTGGTGTGACTCAGTCACTGTTCTTATTTTAAACCACACTGACTGATGATTACTGGATCCTAAACTTTCACCTATAGTAATAACTGATACCAAATCTCCATTTGTTAACACTAAATCTAGTATGGCCTCTTTACGAGTTGGCTCCTCAACAACTTGTTTTAGAGACAATCCCAGTAGGGAGTTTAGAATATGTGTGCTCCTGGCACAAGCAGCGGTTTTTGTTTTCCAATTTACATCAGGAATATTAAAGTCACCCATGATGATAACTTCCCCCTTCATTGTCATTTTAGCTATTTCCTCAACTAGTAGATTATCTAACTCTTCAATTTGTCCTGGGGGCCTATAACTCACACCTACACGAGTTACTGTGTGATTACCAAATTCTAACGTAACCCAAACGGAGTCTGTTTGCCTCACTAACTTTTATTAGGCTAGATTTTATGCTATCTTTCACATACAAGGCCACCCCACCCCCTTTCTTGCCTTCCATATCTTTTCTATATAAAGAGTACCCTGGTATTGCTATGTCCCAGTCATTTTTCTCATTATACCATGTAACAGCAACTAAATCTACACTATCAGTTGCCATTATTGCCACAAGTTCATGGATCTTATTCCCTAAACTGCTCAGGAACATGACAGTGACTATGTAAGATACTACTCTTCAACCTTGTGGCTTTTATCCAAGATATGATCTCCTGTGGAAGTCAACTATGACACTGGAAACAGGGAATTGGTGCCCATAATTCTTGCATTAAAGAGTAGAGACATTTAGGGGAATGATCTTAAGTGATCATAATCTAGACAATCAAGATGATCATTGTTTCTCTCATTTTAATTGTAATATAATGTATTGTAGCAACTATCTTATTAAGCATGTCTTTTTCATTTATGGAGAAAATACAGGCAGCCCACACACAAACTTGTGCTGGGAAACTTTAATGACAAGTTATATGTTCCACAAGTAGAAAGAAGAGAAGTTTTTTAAGTCGTGACTAGAGTTGAGCAGACACCTGGATGTTCGGGTCCGACAAACCTCTGCTAATGTATACATAGTTTATACTAAGTGACCCATAGGTTGAGAAGGCGTTGACCATGGCGCTGGAGGAGGAGGATGAAGTAGCCAACACTGTTTTTCATTTTTTTTTTTTTTTTATTGTGGTAGCCCACAAAATATTGGGACATACAACAAAATAAACATTTGCGGTCTGCGGTGCATTTCTTGCAGTCCTGATGCATGTAGAAATGCTCAACTCCTGATGCATGGAGAAAAGGCCTTTACAAGCCTCTGCTAATGTGTACCTAGTTTATACTAAGTGACCCATAGGTTGAGGAGGCGGTGACTGTGGAGGTGTAGGTGGAAGCAGCGGTGGAGGAGGAGGAGGTAGCCAACATTGTTTTTTTTTTTTTTTTAATTGGGGTAGCCCCCAAAATATTGAGACATATATAAAAAAAAGAAAACAAAGAATAAGTGCACTGGAGTATAACAATGGCTGGGTGAGGCCATATAAATGTCTATTCTGCACAAGTTACAGACAAGTCTGGTGTGATCCATGCCTGGTTCATTTTAATAAATGTGAGCTTGTCCACGTTGGCTGTGGACAGGCTGCTCCACTTGTCTGTGATAACGCCCTCTGCCGTGCTAAACACACGTTCAGACAATACACTGGCTGCAGGGCAGGCCAGCACCTCCAAGGCATAAAGGGCAAGCTCAGGCCATGTGCCAAATTTGGAGACCCAGAAGTTGAATAGGGCAGACCCATCAGTCAGTACGTGTAGGCGTGTGCACATGTACTGTTCCTGCTAAGACGTTCCATGTCAGATGGTGGTGCTGGTTGTTGTGGCGTGCTGACAAAGCTTTTCCACATTTCGGCCATGCTAACCCTGCCTTCTGAGGTGCTGGCGTTGCCCCAGCTACGTTGGCGACCTCTTCCTCCTCCTCTGCCTTTGCCTTGTGCTTCCACTGAGTCCCCGGTGTCAGTTGGGAATGCCCTTAGCAGCGCGTCTACCAGCGTGCGCTTGTAGTCGCGCATCTTCCGATCACGCTCCAGTGAGGGAATTAAGGATGGCACGTTGTCCTTGTAACGTGGATCCAGCAGGGTGGCCACCCAGTAAACAGCACAAGTTAGAATGTGGGCAACATGGCAGTCGTTGCGCAGGCACTGCAGCATGTAGTCGCTCATGTGTGCCAGGCTGCACAGAGGCAAGGACAAGCTGTCCTCTGTTGGAGGTGTATCGTCTGTGTCCTCCATATCCCACCAGCCACGCTCCAGTGATGCCCATGATATGCGTTGGGTGCCACCCTGCTGTGAACACTCCTCATCCTCCAGAAATGTGCCCTGGCTGGACAATTGTGTACCTGGCCTATGCTGGTGCAGGAACCCACCCTCCAAGCCACTTGTGAATGACTGGCCTGATAACCATGGAAATGACCCCTCCTCCTTTCTCCTGTGCCACATCCTCTTCCATCATCGCCTGCAGCTTTTTTTCAAAGAGACATAGAAGCGGGATAGTAAGGCTGAGAACGGCGTCATCGGCACCGGCCATGTTGGTGGAGTACTCAAAACAGTGCAAAATGGCACACAGGTCTCGCATGGAGGCCCACTCATTGGTGGTGAAGTGGTGCTCTACCGCAGAGTGACTGACCCGTGCATGCTGCATCTGAAACTCCACTATCGCCTGCTGCTGCTTGCACAGGCTCTCCAGCATGTGCAAGGTGGAGTTCCACCTTGTGGGCATGTCGCATATGAGGCGGTGAGCGGGAAGGCCAAAGTTACGCTGCAGCACAGACAGGCAAGCAGCAGGGTGAGAACGCCGAAAGCGCGCACAGATGGCCCGCACTTTCTGCAGCAGCTCTGATATATCTGGGTAGTTTTTAAGGAATTTCGGCACCACCAAATTCAGCACATGCGCCAGGCAAGGGATGTGCGGCAAACCTGCTATACCCGGAGCTGCTACGAGACTTCACCCATTATTGCACAGCACCAGGCTGGGCTTGAGGCTCAGTGGCAACAACCACTCATCGGTCTGTTGTTCCATGCCCATCCACAGCTCCTGCGCGATGTGGGGTTTTTCCCCCAAACATATCAGTTTTAAAACAGTCTGCTGTCGTTTCCCACTGGCTGTGCTGAAGTTGGTTGTGAAGGTGTTACACTGCCCAGATGAGGTGGTGGTAGAGGAGTAGGAAGCGGAGTAGGAGGAGGAGGCAACAGGAGGCAAAGAGAAATGCCCTGCAATCCTCAGCGGCAGAAGGACATGCGCCAAACTGCTATCTGCATCAGGCCCAGCTGCCACTACGTTTTCCCAGTGTGCAGTGAGGGACATATACAGTTGCAAGAAAAAGTATGTGAACCCTTTGGAATGATATGGATTTCTGCACAAATTGGTCATAAAATGTGATCTGATCATCATCTAAGTCACAACAATAGACAATCACAGTCTGCTTAAACTAAGAATGAAATGTTGCCATGTTTTTATTGAACACCATGTAAACATTCACAGTGCAGGTGGAAAAAGTATGTGAACCCCTAGACTAATGCCATCTCCAAGAGCTAATTGAAGGGAGATGTCAGCCAACTGGAGTCCAGTCAATGAGATGAGATTGGAGGTGTTGGTTACAGTTCTGGGTTTGCTTTTCACAAGAAGCATTGCCTGATGTGAATGATGTCTCACACAAAAAAAACTCTCAGAAGATCTACAATTAAGAATTGTTGACTTGCATAAAGCTGGAAAGGGTTATAAAAGTACCTCCAAAAGCCTTGCTGTTCATCAGTCCACGGTAAGACAAATTGTCTATAAATGCTGCTACTCTCCCTAAGAGTGGCCGTCCTGTAAAGATGACTGCAAGAGCACAGCGCAGACTGCTCAATGAGGTGAAGAAGAATCCTAGAGTGTCAGCTAAAGACTTACAAAAGTCACTGGCAAATGCTAAGATCCCTGTTAGCGAATCTACAATATGTAAAACACTAAACAAGAATATATTTTGTGGGGATATTTATGGGATAATAATAGTAAACAGTGAGAATTGCCCACTAATTCAATTCTCAGATCCCAAAGATCGTTATCGTGTTAAGTGGAATGTATTTCATGTTATAAAAAAATAGATTTTATTTTATAATAACAATTAATTAATAATATGTAACATGCGTGACAATAATCAATGAATATCCAGTATAAAATGATATGCAATACAAAGGAATGGCTATACACGTTCAATGGCTAAACAGCATTTTCTGTCAAGACTTACACGATTTATGAGGGTATCCTTACAGACTGAAAGTGAAGCTTTTCACAGTGAAGGGCCATAAAACCCTGGCTATCAGTTAAAATAACCCTTTCAATGCTGGCTAGATCTCCTAGGTAATTAAGATCTATTCTTATGTAATTTTAAATAAAATAACATTTAAACCAGTTCATTAGTCATTTCCTGGAACCATCCAATAAGAGAATCTACCATGATTTTATAAGCAGATTTTTAATGCGCCTAAAAAGGTATCTTATCTTATATTAGAGCAAATCAATACACCTGGATAAAAACAGCGGTATGCTAACACGTGATAATATCACATCAATATATAATTATTCTTAATTTCACCTGCAGAATGGAATGTTTATAACTATATATTCTTTAGTTAACTAAGATTTCTTAAATATGGAAATCTGACTGTGATTTATCCAGTCATATATCATGATATTAGTACATTTTAATTAATTTAATTAATTAAATGAAACCAGTATAATTACCAGTTGAGTAGATATTTCATCCGATTGGTAGATAGTCTCAGGAACTTGTTTGGATGTCTCTCTGCATGGAGGTGTGTAGGAATTTCTGAGTGTCCTAGAGTGTCATTGCTCCCCACTGCTCACTTCTTTGCTTTCTTTGCATACCCTTCTCTCCTTGTCTTTGTCTTAACTTTTAAAGGGAAAATTCACTAGTTGCTAAACCAATAGCAATACTGGGGGTGTGGTTATCTTCCAGATCGCAATTTAGTTATTTGGTCTATAGAGGGCAGTCTTGTCCCACTAAACATACCTATCCAGGAAAGAGTTAACTTTTCCTGGTGGCTATTTTGACGTCATTTTGGCTTTATCTTTATCGTGGCCATAACTTAAGTTTTCTGTCAGATCAAACAGTTTCTTTAAGTTTTGTCCAGACTATGTGTCTGGCAAATTCTGAGTTTTGACCCGTAACTTACAATGGGACCTTGTACATATAGAAAGTAAAATTTTATTATTTAATCTCCTCTGTCACAAATGTCTGGGTTTAGAATGCATCTATTCCATTAACATTTAGACAGTCTGTCCAACCCCCGTTCTCTTTATCACTTGGTTTGTATATAATATGTATTCCTTTAGCTCTGGGAAAGTGGTTAGTTTTACAGATAGGATAGAAATTTTGTGTCTCTTTGTTAACTTGAAAATAACAAAATGGAGTCTGCTCTGTTTAGAGTGACTCCGCATATACACTTTTAATTTCTATCATAGCACAAGATGTCTGCCGATATAAATACCTTGACAATTTCATGGGAGGATACCACAGAGAAAGCCACTGCTGTCCAAACAAAACATTGCTGCATGTTTACAGTTTGCACAAGAGCACCTGGATTTTCCACAGCAGTACTGGCAAAATATTCTGTGGACTGATGAAGCCAAAGTTGAGTTGTTTGGAAGAAACACACAACACTATGTGTGGCGAAAAAGAGGCACAGCACACCAACATCAAAACCTCATCCCAACTGTGACGTATGGTGGTGGGGGCATCATGGTTTGGTGCTACTTTGCTGCGTCATGGCCTGGACGGATTGCTATCATCGAAGGAAAAATGAATTCCCAAGTTTATCAAGACATTTGCAAGAGAACTTAAGGCCATCTGTCTACCAGCTGAAGATGGCTGTTGCAACAGGACAATGACCCAAAGCATAGAAGTAAATCAACAACAGAATGGCTTAAACAGAAGAAAATACACCTTCTGAAGTGACCCAGTCAGAGTCCTGACCTCAACCCGATTGAGATGCTGTGGCATGACCTCAAGAAAGCGATTCACACCAGACATCCCAAGAATATTGCTGAACTGAAACAGTTCTGTAAAGAGGAATGGTCAAGAATTACTCCTGACTGTTGTGCACTTCTGATCTGCAACTACAGGATTGTCTATTGTTGTGACTTAAAATGTGATCTGATCATCATCTATGACCAATTTGTGCAGAAATCCATATCATTCCAAATGGTTTATATACATTTTCTTGCAACTGTAGCATGCCTGCCCATGCTTACTGGTCCACGTATCTGTGCTTATGTGGACCTTGCCACTGATGGAGTTGCGCAGTGCACACCTGATTTTGTCCGCCAATTGGTTGTACAGGGAAGGGATGGCTCGGCTGGAATCCACGTACTGTGGGACAGCCACCGCCATCAGGTTTTTAAAACTGTCAGTCTCCACCAGACGGAATGACAGCATTTCAAAGGCCACGAATTTTGGGAGATGGACTGCTGAACGCTTCCATGGGACAGTGTGGAGCTGCTTGGGGACAGTAGCGGACGTGGTGACGTTGCTGCCACATCCTCTGTTTGTGGGGTGGCAGGTGCCACTGTCACTCCAGAGGTGGAGGAAGAGGCAGAGACAGCAGCAGAAGAGGAAGCAGGAGGAGCCTGAGACCTTTCTTGGTTTTTGATGTGCTTACTCCACTGCAGCTCGTGCTTTGCATGAAGATGCCTGGTCATGCAGGTTGTGCTCAGGTTTAGAACGTTTATGCCTCGCTTCAGGCTCTGATTGCACAGCGTGCAAACCAATTGTGTCTTGTCGTCAGCACATTGTGTGAAGAACTGCCAGGCCAGGGAACTCCTTGGAGCTGGCTTTGGTGTTCTCGGTCCCTGTGTGCGGTGGTCAGTAACAGGCGTACCGTCTAGGGGATGGCCGCTCCGCTTTTGCACTCTACTCCTGCTTATGCTGTGCTGGTGCCTCTGTGTGACCACCGCCTCTTCCTCCAAACTGCACAGGTCACTCTCTCATGACCTTCATTCCATGTGGGGTCTAAGACCTCATCATCCTCCACCCACTCCTCAACCCATCCCTCCTTGCCAGTCTGCACACTGCCGAAAGCCACAGCAGTTGGCAACTGTGTTTCGTCTTCCTCAGAGACGTGCTGTGGTGGTCTTTGCATGTCCACATCCTCACACGTAAGTGGTTGTGCATCAGTGCACTCAATCCCTTCCACTTCTGGGGCAGGGCTAGGTAGATGGCCCATGGAAACCCACCAGCAGAGTCATCAAAAAGCATAGGAGACTACTGCATGACTTGTAACTCAGACTGCTTGGGTGATTTGCAAGGGGGTGAGGTGATAGACAGATGGCCATGGGCTGCATGTGCCAACTCTGAGCTTTCAGCAGGGCACTGGGTGGGAGACAATGTGCAGGAACTGGAGGCACTGTCAACCATCCAATCTACTATCGCCTGTACTTGTTCTGGCTTCACCCTTCATAGAACGGTATTCGGGCCTACCAAATAACGCTGAAAGTTCTGTCATGTACTCGCACATGAGGAACTTGTGCATGTAGCTAGCACAGATCAATCACGTCCTCTTCTTGCAACAGGGATTCCACCAACAACAGAAGCACCAGGACCAGGGCCACGTGCCTTATAAGCACACTATTAGACGCTTCTATTTGACTCTCAGATATGAAGTGCACCCCACTGAAATACTGTATAGCACCCAGAAAATAAAAAAATTTACCACTGTGCTGTAAGCACACTATTAGACTCTCCTATTTGACTCTCAGATATGAAGTGCAGTCCGCAAATGTACTATTTAGCAGATTAGCACCCAGAAAATAAAAATTTGTACAACTGCGCTATAAGCACACTATTAGACGCTTCTATTTGACTCTCAGATATGAAGTGCACCCCACTAATGTACTATTTAGCACCAAAAAATGTTTACTTTTTAAAACTCCGATATAACCGCGGTATTTGAAGCTTTTATTTGACTCTCAGATATGAAGTGCACCCCACCCCACTAATGTACTAGTTTGAATTCTTTCCTAAGCTGTCCCTCACAGCGGCAGTATCCTCTCCCTACACTAATAAGACCGCATGTGCGTGCGGCGCTACACAACTCCAGCTTATATATATATATATGCTGGGTCACATGCTGCACTGGCCACTGACAACCATGCCATTAGTAGGCATGGCTGTGATGGTTTCTAAGGGCACACGAGTCAAACGCTTGTTGATTGGCTGCCCTTGTTGATTTTCTCTTAGTTTTGTCCAGACTTAGTGTCCGCAATTCCTGCTATAATTTTTAATATGGCTGTTCATGAACTAAGTTTCACCTTAAACTTGCAATGGGATCTTGTACATATAGAAAGTAAAATTTTATTATTTAATCTCCTCTGTCACAAATGTCTGTGTTTAGATATGCATCTATTCCATTAACATTTTAGACAGTCTATCCAACCCCCTCACTTGGTTTGTATATACTATGCATTCCTTTAGCTCTGGGAAAGTGGTTAGTTTTACAGATAGAAATCTTGTGTCTTTTGTTAACTTGAAAATAACAAAATGGTGTCTGCTCTGTTTAAAGTAACTCAGTATTTAATATACACTTTTAATTTCTATCATAGCACAAGATGTCTGCCGATATAAATACCCTGACAATCCTCAAACAAATGAGACAGCTAACCATTCTTTAGAAACGTTTTTGTGATTTTATTTCTCATAATTAGCAATATTGGTCTGACCTCCTGCTTTGCACAGACTTCATCCACACACAACTCAAAAATGGCACAGTCAATGTTACTTTACCTCTGGTAAACATCCCTCTGTTATTTCATGAAACTTTATTATTACAGGGTTACCTGTGTTTTGGATCAAACCAAGTGTTTGTTTATCTGAGTATCTGCTCCTGTCCAAATGATTCAAAATAGAAGCATGCACGCTCTGAAGTAAATCACACTGAGACACCAAGTTTCAGGTTAATGAAAAACTTCAGAATCTTTAATCAGGGGGCAGGGAGCCCCTTATAAAGGCAGAAATACATCATATTCAGAAAGCAAGATAACAGAGAGAATACATCTTTAATTGGTCGAGTGTTAAGCCCTTCCTCCAAAGTGTGATGTCACCAGCATTCTAGGTGAGGCTCTCTGGAGGAGACGCCATCTTAGCAGATGACATTCTTTACACGATGGGAGGGGGTGGTTCAAGCAGCCATTTTGAGCAGTTAATGAACACAGGATGGGAGGGGATGCTCCAACAGCAATTCTAAGTAAAAATAAATTTTACTAACATTAATTTACGTCCACAACAGTCCCCCCTTAAAATGACTATTTCCTAACCACTACAAAACAAAATCTAAAAATCTAAATCAGTCACTAACAGGCTGCAGCACATCTGTCCTACAGGTCTCGAACTCTTTTGATGCTGCGCATAGGACAAGCAGTGGCTTGCCCACTACCTCCTCCACTACAGACTTTGTCCGTAAAGACAGACGCTATCCCTACCGTCCCTAAAAGGAAGTAATTGTGTGATTGGTGTGGAGGGACTGCAAAGGAGAATGTGGCTTGTCATAGTCCTCGTCATCTATTTCTTGGTGAAGGAAAGTCGGGGTGGTCTGATCAACGGTCTTCTGTAGGCACATTTTAATACAAGATAAAACACACCAAACAATAAGAACAAGGATGATCGACATTATCAAGACAGCCACACCTATCTGGACCAGAACTTTTTGCCAACTATTCACCCATCCAAACAATCTTTCCCACAGATCAGTGACCCCAGAATTAATTTTTAATTCTTCAGAGAGACTCTCCGGTTTCTCTATTGCTAAGGTTACTTTGCCATTTGGGCCTGTATTATCTGGGATGAAAGTACATGTCATGGTGTCAGGGAGTATTTTACATACCCATCCTTTTTCCTTAAGGGGCATCTCTGGTATAATTAGCAAAACGGTGTTGATTATAATAGATATAATTAATACAATTCAAATTCTTATTAGCAGTAATAATTGGGAGAATAGATTCAAACCCTGCTGCAACTTCGTCTCTTACCTTGAATTAATTTGGTACCCCCCCACCCCCTTGGAACCACTATGGCATCAATATATATGTGTGGGTCAAAACTGCCTTGTACAAGGGTGCTTCTTTTTGTCCTGAAGTATGAATGTGGTATGTCAGATATTATGTGTATGGGCATAATAACCTTATCCAGGGCACATTTACTTATTCTTTATCGTATAAATCCTTAACCGTGCTATCTCAGTACAGGTGGACTCAGATCATTTATTCAATATTAATATTACCACAAACTCAAGATGAGCAGATAATCCTGAAGAAGCTTCAGCAGTGCGTTGGAACCTCAGCTTCCAGACGTGAGGGCTGCAGGGTAAGGAGTACGTCTGATTCTCTTTGGCTTCACAAGGTCTCCTTTTGGGGTCCTCGGCTTTCCATCGATGGCAGGTGGTTAGGCATTATTATGGCCATCAAAACACCTACCTGTTGATATTTTCTCCAACAAGTATCTTTATTTTCTTAAAACGGAGTTACAAAGGGTCGTCAAGATCAACAAACGTTACTTCCCATGGAGCAGAGGCAGGCTTGATTCTGCAGTGGTGAATCCACGGGGTGATCTCAGAAACTTTCACGGTGTACTACTTGGCATGCGGTCTCTCCTCCTATTGGTGACTGGGTAGGCCTCTGGCCATCTTGAGAACATATCCACTATAACTAGTGCATATTCAAACCGGCCACTCTTTGGCATTTGGATGTGGTCAACTTGGATTCTTTGGAAAGGGGTAGTGAGGTTTAGGTTTGGCCAGATGCTTCGGGTGGGGGCTTTCTCCATCCTGCCTGGGTTGCATTTGGCACAGATGATGCAGGATCTGCAGTAACTGTTGGTCAGAGAGGTAATTCTAGGTGCTTCATAGTATTTGTTGTCCAAGAACCCCATGAACTCTTTTGATCAAGTGTTGTGCTCCATGGGCCCAGTGGACCATTGGTGAGTACATGTGTAATGGATCGCCTGGCACCCCGACTGGGTACCTCAGTTGAAAGATGCTCCTAGCGCTTCCTGAGGACTCCAAGCACTGCAGCTGACACCACAATCACCGAACCAGAGAAGCGTATACCTTCTCTCAAGCATATGAATGCTGTAGACCGTTGAATAGGAACCATACGAATAGGTTTACTCTCCTAGCAGTCAAACTGGAACAGCATACAAGAAATCCTTCCCTCAATAATGAGACGACACTTCACTTTGAGGGTTAAAACAGGAACTCCCTGTATTGTCACATACAGTCTCTTTTATTCCCAATCCAAACATAGTACAGCCCACAGGGCGTTACAAAACAACCAATCAATCCATACAATACACCCAGACACTCCCACACAAAATCCTCCCCTCTGGCTGTGATATGATTACTGAACACAATGGGTTTCATAAAACACATCACAGGGACCCCAAAACATACAATAACCCCATAAAAAGTATATCCTTGGAACTGGGGGATCTGGGTGAACCACATAGCCAAAATTCACCCAGATCCGTTCAGTACTTTTATGGAAAATACAGTTTAATGCAGATTCTGCAGAACATATACAGGCTAAATAAAAAACAATCACTGTATAATGTGTCCCCTGCTGTATAGTCCAAAACCACCGCACGATGTCTCTGTGCAACAAATACTGGCGAGATGGCACCGTGTTGAAAAGTCCACACAGTGTCTGTGAGTTAAAATGGCCGCCATCCATTGTTCTCACCATGTGCTTCTGATACAGGACATGGTGGCCACCCAGTAACTCCACAGTATGTCCCCAGATGGTTCTTAAAAGGGCCAGCAGCAGCACAACACAAATCCATCATGCCAAAACCATGTCCCTAAAGGGCAATACATTATTAACAGTGCATTACATTACACGCTATAACATACAATAGGAACCCCATACCGGCAACACTTAAAGAGACAGTACAAAATAATGTCCAAGTGGCTAGGTTTGCCACAACATGCTCTTGGGTAAACAGAACTTGAGATTGTTGGAGTACAGCCCGTCTCTAAGGGTTGCCCCTTTCTGTTTCCAGCTTCGCATATCTTCAGGATCAGCAGCCGCTTGTTGTCTCTTCAGGAGCTTGAGATCTGTGGGTAGGGTCTGCATAATGAATGAGAGTTTCTTCAGCGGACACTTTTCTGTCCACTTCCCTTGGTGCACGTGCAGCTTGTTTGGCAGCTTGATCAGCTAGATAGTTGCCTTGTGTTTCTTCTGAATTCAATCTTCCATGAGCCTTTACCTTCAGTATGGCCACTTCTTCAGGAAGGAGTAAGGCATCCATGCTGTGAGAAATCTTCTTGTCTACCAGATTGATCCGAAGTCATGTGCCACGCCTAGTGGATATCTTGTGGCAGTGTAGATATTGGCGTGTCTTCCTTCAGAGATTTTGCATGCTGTGGTGAGAGCTTGGAACTCAGCTTCTTGAGCAGACATAGATGAGGGATTCTTGGAGTACTTTATCCACTGTAGTGACAGCAAATCCAGTATGGCATCTTCCTTTTTCATCAGCATATCTGGAGTCATCCACAAACTGGGTGAGTTCAGGTTCATATAGGGCAGCCTCATGCACATTTGGGAGGTGTGTTGTTTCCATTTTCGTCTGTTCAAACAATCATGAGGTGCATCTGGATATTGGTCTGTGGGTGGGGTTTCAGTGCATGTTTCTGTGTGGAATCTGTGATAGCCAGTTGTCTTGCAATTCAGGTTTCGCTTGGTGACACCTTCTTCAGAAAGATGGGTCTGATCTGCAGTGTTCCAAGATTTGGCCAATGGGCCAAGTTCTTCCCATGAGGTCTGTGGGGACTTGGAGAAGGAGATGTAGGGGACAGCTAAGTCCCAGTGGTGGTATGAGCTACCTCTGGAGGCAGGTGGACTAAGGCTAGATAATTGCCATTAGGATCACGGAACAGATCTGTTTTGGTGAGCTGCACCTCCACCAACTGGAACAGGTCTTCTTCATAGTAGGGTTCGGGTCCTGGAGTATTTCTGAACCATCGGGTGAAAAGAGGGAAAGGCGGGGTGTCATTTCCTCCCCCCCCGCCCCCTGGGAAGTGGCAGAAGAGTGACCGGGTTGAGGGAGTAGCACCTCTGCAGGGAGACCTTGTCTGGCAGCAGGAGAGAACATTGTAAGCGAAGGTGGCGAGCAGCTGAGAGGTGCTTGGGCTAAACTTGGCTGAGGATGGCAGCTATGTCGTGAGGTGCAAGGAGACAGACGCTACAGCCTGAGTTTGTGGCAAAGAATCAAATCATTAGTCTTGTCCAGGAGAGCATGAGCTGCAAAGACAGCTCAAAGACAGGAGGGGCCTCCTCTTGCCACAGGATCCAGTTGACAGATGTTGTAGCCAATGGGGCATTGGCGGGAGCCATGGGACTGTGTGAGGACTCCAGAGGCATGACCTTGTCTTTCAGACATGAACAACTTGAAAGGTTTCTGGAAGGCCTAGAGCAGTGGCAGTGGAAATGGCAAAATGGCACGTTGTAAGGTAAAGAAGCTACATCTTGCCTCAGGGGACAGAGAAAATGGTTGTCTTTAGGGCATCATAGGGAGGTTGCATGAGGATGGCCTCTAGTATCCAGGCTCTGCAGTGAGATTAGACCCAGAAAGGCATGGAGGGGCTTGTGTGCTGTGGGAGGATAGAAATTCCTCTCACCTTGCATCCTTGTTCAGCAAGAGAACAGAGTAGATCCTCTGAATCACGCAGACAGGAGGTCATCCACATATTGGAGAAGGACCACATCAGGTCCAGGATTGAAGCCCTTACCTTAGCAAACTGACTAGGAGAGTTTTGAGCCCCTTGAGGATTGACAGTCCAGGTGTATTGATTCTCTATACAAATAAACAACTTCCACAATCCCATTAAAATAACCAATACAATGAAAATAACAGTCAAAATGATAACATTGAACAGAGTCGATGATACATCTGCCAGAAAAGTAGTGCTGTTATCAGGAGAGCTAGATCTAGGAAATGTTTGATTGACGAAAGATGCATTAAAATGCCATTTAATCTCAGCTGCAAGCTAGAGCACTAAACCTGTACTATACCTGATGAATAAGCCAAATAAGCATTATCCTTTTCAAACTGAAATACTAAACTTTAAATAAATTACTGAACTAAAAATCAAAATTAAATTAAAACACAACATTATCAGTGTCTAAGCTATGCTTAAGTATTCAAAGTTGGAAAATAAAACTGGCAAAATAAATAAGACAGCTGAAAACATTATGCATTTAACAGCCCATAAAACTGTTCATAGAAACATATACTTTAAACTAGAAAAGTTACAATTTCTGGGGAAATTGTGTGAAGTGTTCTTGCCTCCACCAGTAGTCTACAACTGGAGTGGGCGGAGTAACTGTTATCATTTATATAGCACATTTAATTGCAACGTTGTTGCAGAGTTACATTAAACCATACATTTATAAAAACATTAGCAGGTGTTCAAAAGGCCCTGTCTATGACATCACTTGCTGCTGCAGCCTGACACAGGTCAGAGTATTCTGGCGGTTGCCATCTTCAAACGGTCGTATTTTAAAAACTATAAATCCTACAGCGAAGAGCTTTATATTGTGAGAATCACAAGACCCTGACCTACATTTTGTTGCATAGTATGTCTCTGAAGTATTAAAAATGAAGGCACAGTCGCAGTTTAGAAATTGCACTTCAAATTTGAGCTTTGTAGAGTGAAGTTTCAATGAATGTCAATGGACGGTGTTAGTTGCTAACAAATGATTATATTGTGAAAACTATCAGGACTACGGCTTAGCCGTTGACATGTTTAGTGGCAGCAGGGATAGCTGAACGTTTTGATATATGATTTGTGTAGGTGGGCCTGAAAATGAGGGAGTGGCGGCAGTTTAGAAATCATGTCCTGATTTTTCAGCTTTTGCCAGCTCCCACTCTAGCTTTGCCATTCATTCCTATGGGACAAATTGCGCCACAAGAACGACGATATTCCGTGAACCATTCGGCGAAACGTTCCACAAAGTAATAGCAATCCGATGGGAACAATCTGCACGTTTTGGTAAATTTTGGTCTATGTAGTGTAAAAACTGTGGGAGGAGTTAGGGTGGCAAATTTTGCTATAATAATAATAATAATAACTAGAAAAGCTACAATTTCTGGGGAAATTGTGTGAAGTGTTCTTGCCTCCACCAGTAGTGCACATTCAATTGCAACGTTGTTGCACAGTTACATTAAACCATACATTTATAAAACATTAGCAGGTGTTCAAAAGGCCTGTCTATGACATCACTTGCTGCTGCAGCCTTGACAGCTCAGAGTATTTTGGCGGTTGCCATCTTCAAACGGTCATATTTTAAAAACTATAAATCCTACAGCGAAGAGCTTTATATTGTGAGAATCACAAGACCCAGACCTACATTTTGATGCATAGTATGTCTCTGAAGTATTAAAAATGAAGGCACAGTCGCAGTTTAGAAATTGCACTTCAAAATTGAGCTTTGCAGAGTGAAGTTTCAATGAAAGTCAATGGACGGCGTTAGTTGCAAACAAATGATTATATTGTGAAAACTATCAGGACTATGGCTTAGCCGTTGACATGTTTAGTGGCAGGAGGTATAGCTGAACGTTTTGATATAAGATTTGTGTAAGTGGGCCTGAAAATAAGGGAGTGGTGGCAGTTTAGAAATCATGTCCTGATTTTTCAGCTTTTGCCAGCTCCCACTCTAGCTTTGCCATTCATTCCTATGGGACAAATTTTGCCACAAGAACGAATTTATATTCCTAACCATTCGTAAACGTTCCAAAAGTAGCAATCCGATCAAACAATCTGCACTTTGGTAAATTTTGCTATGTAGTGTAAAACTAGGAGGAGTTAGGTGGCAAATTTTGCTATAATAAGAATAATAATAATAATAACTAGAAAAGCTACAATTTCGGGGAAATTGTGTGAAGTGTTCTTGCCTCCACCTGTAGTCTACAACTGGAGTGGGCGGAGTAACTGTTATCATTTACATAGCACATTTAATTGCAACGTTGTTGCACAGTTACATTAAACCATACATTTATAAAAACATTAGCAGGTGTTCAAAAGGCCCTGTCTATGACATCACTTGCTGCTGCAGCTTGACACAGGTCAGAGTATTTTGGCGGTTGCCATCTTCAAACGGTCGTATCTTAGAAACTATAACTCCTACAGTGAAGAGCTTTACATTGTGAGAATCACAAGACCCAGACCTACATTTTGATGCATAATATGTCTCTGAAGTATTAAAATTGAAGGCATAGTCGCAGTTTAGAAATTGCACTTCAAATTTGAGCTTTGCAGAGTGAAGTTTCAATGAAAGTCAATGGACGGCGTTAGTTGCAAACAAATGATTATATTGTGAAAACTATCAGGACTATGGCTTAGCCGTTGACATGTTTAGTGGCAGGAGGGATAGCTGAACGTTTTGATATAAGATTTGTGTAGGTGGGCCTGAAAATAAGGGAGTGGTGGCAGTTTAGAAATCATGTCCTGATTTTTCAGCTTTTGCCAGCTCCCACTCTAGCTTTGCCATTCATTCCTATGGGACAAATTGCGCCACAAAAACGACGATATTCCGTGAACCATTCGGCGAAACGTTCCACAAAGTAATAGCAATCCGATCGGGAACAATCTGCACGTTTTGGTAAATTTTTGTCTATGTAGTGTAAAAACTGTGGGAGGAGTTAGGGTGGCAAATTTTGCTATAATAATAATAATAACTAGAAAAGTTACAATTTCTGGAGAAATTGTGTGAAGTGTTCTTGCTTCCACCTGTAGTCTACAACTGGAGTGGGCGGAGTAACTGTTATCATTTATATAGCACATTTAATTGCAATGTTGTTGCACAGTTACATTAAACCATACATTTATAAAAACATTAGCAGGTGTTCAAAAGGCCCTGTCTATGACATCACTTGCTGCTGCAGCTTGACACAGGTCAGAGTATTTCGGTGGTTGCCATCTTCAAACGGTCATATTTTAAAAACTATAAATCCTACAGCGAATAGCTTTATATTGTGAGAATCACAAGACCCAGACCTACATTTTGATGCATAGTATGTCTCTGAAGTATTAAAAATGAAGGCACAGTCGCAGTTTAGAAATTGCACTTGAAATTTGAGCTTTGCAGAGTGAAGTTTCAATGAATGTCAATGGACGGCGTTGGTTGCAAACAAATGGTCATATTGTGAAAACTATCAGGACTACGGCTTAGCTGTTTACATGTTTAGTGGCAGCAGGGATAGCTGAACGTTTTGATATAAGATTTGCGTAGGTGGGCTTGAAAATGAGGGAGTGGTGGCAGTTTAGAAATCATGTCCTGATTTTTCAGCTTTTGGTAGCTCCCACTCTAGCTTTGCCATTCATTCCTATGGGACAAATTGCGCCACAAAAACGACGATATTCCGTGAACCATTCGGCGAAACGTTCCACAAAGTAATAGCAATCCGATCGGGAACAATCTGCACGCTTTGGTAAATTTTGGTCTATGTAGTGTAAAAACTGTGGGAGGAGTTAGGGTGGCAAATTTTGCTATAATAAGAATAATAATAATAATAATAATATATATAGTGAGATAACATTATGAGTCTTAAGCAAGGCAAGAACACTTAATAATATATATGTGGAGATAACATTATGGTCCTATATGCAAGAACACTTATCAACTAGAAAGCCACACTGGGTGAAATTGTGTGAAGTGTTCTGCTCCACCAGTAGTCTACAACCGTGGAGTAACTGTTATCATTTATGTAGCACATTTAATTGCAAACGCGCTGTTGCACAGTTACATTAAACCATACATTTATAAAACATTAGCAGGTGTTCAAAAGGCCCTGTCTATGACATCACTTGCTGCTGCAGCCTTGACAGGTCAGAGTATTTTGGTGGTTGCCATCTTCAAACGGTCATATTTTAAAAACTATATATACTACAGCAAAGAGCTTTATATTGTGAGAATCACAAGACCCAGACCTGCATTTCGATGCATAGTATGTCTCTGAAGTATTAAAAATGAAGGCACAGTCGCAGTTTAGAAATTGCACTTCAAATTTGAGCTTTGCAGAGTGAAGTTTCAATGAATGTCAATGGACGGCGTTGGTTGCAAACAAATGATTATATTGTGAAAACTATCAGGACTATGGCTTAGCCGTTGACATGTTTAGTGGCAGCAGGGATAGCTGAACGTTTTGATATAAGATTTGTGTAGGTGGGCCTGAAAATGAGGGAGTGGTGGCAGTTTAGAAATCATGTCCTGATTTTTCAGCTTTTGCCAGCTCCCACTCTAGCTTTGCCATTCATTCCTATGGGACAAATTTCGCCACAAGAACGACGATATTCCGTGAACCATTCGGCGAAACGTTCCACAAAGTAATAGCAATCCGATCGGGAACAATCTGCACGTTTTGGTAAATTTTTGTCTATGTAGTGTAAAAACTGTGGGAGGAGTTAGGGTGGCAAATTTGGCTATAATAAGAATAATAATATATATGTGAGATAACAATAAGTGGTCTTGCTATGCAAGAACACTTAATTATTATTCTTATTCTTATTATAGCCAAATTTGCCACCCTAACTCCTCCCACAGTTTTTACACTACATAGACCAAAATTTACGAAAACGTGCAGATTGTTCCCGTGCAGATTGTTCCCGATAAGCTGCTAATGTATTTTAACCATTGCTGCCAAATGGCACAAAAAGATTTGGTTTGCTTTTTTAAAGGATAGAGACATTCGCTCATAAATATAGTATTGGTTAATTTTGTACAGCAATTAGGACTAGAAAAGCTACAATTTCTGGGGAAATTGTGTGAAGTGTTCTTGCCTCCACCTGTAGTCTACAACTGGAGTGGGCGGAGTAACTGTTATCATTTACATAGCACATTTAATTGCAACGTTGTTGCACAGTTACATTAAACCATACATTTATAAAAACATTAGCAGGTGTTCAAAAGGCCCTGTCTATGACATCACTTGCTGCTGCAGCTTGACACAGGTCAGAGTATTTTGGTGGTTGCCATCTTCAAACGGTCGTATCTTAAAAACTATAACTCCTACAGTGAAGAGCTTTATATTGTGAGAATCACAAGACCCAGACCTACATTTTGATGCATAGTATGTCTCTGAAGTATTAAAATTGAAGGCACAGTCGCAGTTTAGAAATTGCACTTCAAATTTGAGCTTTGCAGAGTGAAGTTTCAATGAATGTCAATGGACGGCGTTAGTTGCAAACAAATGATTATATTGTGAAAACTATCAGGACTATGGCTTAGCCGTTGACATGTTTAGTGGCAGCAGGGATAGCTGAACGTTTTGATATAAGATTTGTGTAGGTGGGCCTGAAAATAAGGGAGTGGTGGCAGTTTAGAAATCATGTCCTGATTTTTCAGCTTTTGGCAGCTCCCACTCTAGCTTTGCCATTCATTCCTATGGGACAAATTTCGCCACAAGAACGACGATATTCCGTGAACCATTCGGCGAAACGTTCCACAAAGTAATAGCAATCCGATCGGGAACAATCTGCAAGTTTTGGTAAATTTTTGTCTGTGTAGTGTAAAAACTGTGGGAGGAGTTAGGGTGGCAAATTTTGCTATAATAATAATAATAATAACTAGAAAAGTTACAATTTCTGGGGAAATTGTGTGAAGTGTTCTTGCCTCCACCTGTAGTCTACAACTGGAGTGGGCGGAGTAACTGTTATCATTTACATAGCACATTTAATTGCAACGTTGTTGCACAGTTACATTAAACCATACATTTATAAAAACATTAGCAGGTGTTCAAAAGGCCCTGTCTATGACATCACTTGCTGCTGCAGCTTGACACAGGTCAGAGTATTTTGGCGGTTGCCATCTTCAAACGGTCGTATCTTAAAAACTATAACTCCTACAGTGAAGAGCTTTATATTGTGAGAATCACAAGACCCAGACCTACATTTTGATGCATAGTATGTCTCTGAAGTATTAAAATTGAAGGCACAGTCGCAGTTTAGAAATTGCACTTCAAATTTGAGCTTTGCAGAGTGAAGTTTCAATGAAAGTCAATGGACGGCGTTAGTTGCAAACAAATGATTATATTGTGAAAACTATCAGGACTACGGCTTAGCCGTTGACATGTTTAGTGGCAGCAGGGATAGCTGAACATTTTGATATAAGATTTGTGTAGGTGGGCCTGAAAATAAGGGAGTGGTGGCAGTTTAGAAATCATGTCCTGATTTTTCAGCTTTTGGCAGCTCCCACTCTAGCTTTGCCATTCATTCCTATGGGACAAATTGCGCCACAAGAACGACGATATTCCGTGAACCATTCGGCGAAACGTTCCACAAAGTAATAGCAATCCGATCGGGAACAATCTGCACGTTTTGGTAAATTTTGTCTATGTAGTGTAAAAACTGTGGGAGGAGTTAGGGTGGCAAATTTTGCTATAATAATAATAATAATAATAATAATATATATGTGAGATAACATTAAGTGGTCTTGCTATGCAAGAACACTTAATAATAATATATATGTGAGATAACATTAAGTGGTCTTGCTATGCAAGAACACTAATAATAATATATATGTGAGATAACATTAAGTGGTCTTGCTATGCAAGAACACTTAATAATAATATATATGTGAGATAACATTAAGTGGTCTTGCTATGCAAGAACACTTAATAATAATAATATATATGTGAGATAACATTAAGTGGTCTTGCTATGCAAGAACACTTAATAATAATAATATATATGTGAGATAACATTAAGTGGTCTTGCTATGCAAGAACACTTAACTAGAAAAGTTAAAATTTCTGGGGAAATTGTGTGAAGTGTTCTTGCCTCCACCAGTAGTCTACAACTGGAGTGGGCGGAGTAACTGTTATCATTTACATAGCACATTTAATTGCAACGTTGTTGCACAGTTACATTAAACCATACATTTATAAAAACATTAGCAGGTGTTCAAAAGGCCCTGTCTATGACATCACTTGCTGCTGCAGCTTGACACAGGTCAGAGTATTTTGGTGGTTGCCATCTTCAAACGGTCGTATCTTAAAAACTATAACTCCTACAGCGAAGAGCTTTATATTGTGAGAATCACAAGACCCAGACCTACATTTTGATGCATAGTATGTCTCTGAAGTATTAAAAATGAAGGCACAGTCGCAGTTTAGAAATTGCACTTCAAATTTGAGCTTTGTAGAGTGAAGTTTCAATGAATGTCAATGGACGGTGTTAGTTGCAAACAAATGAAGTGCTAGGAGCATCCTTTACCGGAGGTACCCAGTCTGGGTGCCAGGTGATCCATTACACATGGCTATTATAACTAGTGTATATTTGAATCGGCCACTCTTTGGCATCTGGATGTAGTCAACTTGGATTCTTGGAATGGTTGGTGAGGTTTGGCTAGATGCTTGGGGCTTTTCTCCATTTTTCTACCTGAGTTGCCCTTGGCACGGATGGCTCAGCATCTGTAGTAACTGTTGGTCAGGTAATTCTAGGTGCTTCAGAGTATTTATTGATCAAAGAGTTCATGAGGGTCTTGGACAGGTATGATGCTCCATGGGCCCACTGGACCACTTCTGAATACATGCCCTTGGGTAAACAGAACTTGAGATTGTTGGGGTACAGCCTGTCTTTAAGGGTTGCATCTTTCTGTTTCCAACCTTGTATTCCTTCAGGGTCAGCAGCTGCTTGTTGTTACATCAGGAGCTTGAGATCTGTGGGTAGGACCTACATGGTGAATATGGGAGTTTCTTCAGCGGACACTCTTCTGTCCACTTCCTTTGGTGCACTTGCGACTTGTTGGCTTGGTCAGCTAGATAGCTACCACATGCTTCTTCTGAATTCAGTCTTCCGTGAGCCTTTATCTTCAGTATGGCCACTTCTTCAGGAGAAGTAAGGTATCCATCAGTTTCTTGATAGCCGTGCTGTGCTTAACTGGCGTGCCAGTTGCTGTGAGAATCTTCTTGTCTTCCAGATTGAAGGGCATATCTTGAGTCAGTGTAGATATTAGCATGCTTTCCTTCAGACATTTTGCATGCTACAGTGAGGGTTGTTAATTCGGCTTCTTGAGCAGACATGGATGAGGGAAGTGAAGATGCTTGAAGTACTTGATCCTCTATAGTGACAGCAAATCCAGTACGGTGCCTTCCCTTTTCGTCCGCAATCTAGAGCCATCCACAAACAGGGTGAAGTCAGGGTTTGGCAAAGCAACTTCATGCACTGATGGGAGATGTGTTGTCTTCATTTACATCCGTACAAAGCAATCATGAGGAGCAGTAGGAGGGCTATCTTCACTTATTTCTCTGTGATATTGAGGGTAGTTAACTGTCTTGAACAGTTCTCTTGGTGGCCCCCCTTTGTGGAGAGCTGATCTTGATTCGTAGTGTTCCATGTTTTTGCTAATGAATCAATTTCCTTCCATGAGATTTCTGGGGACATAGTGAAGAAAACATTAGGGACAGCCATCTCCCAGTGATGATACATGTGTTTTACTTCCATGGGTGACTGGACCAGGACCACACTGTCCACTTGAGGCTGAATAGTTTTTTCGTAGTGTGGATCTGGTCCTGGGGTATTTCTGAACCATAGGGTGTAATGTAAAGGCTGTGGCTGCTCATCATGTGGAACCATGGGATTCTGTATCTGTAGTTCAAGAAGAACGTCTGGGTCCATGTCAAGGCTGTATCATTTCCCCCCTGGGAAGTGGCAGAAGAGTGGCCGCAGTGAAAGAGTAGCATCTCTGCAGCTTGACATTATCTGGAAGCAGAACAGAGGATTGGAGAGTGGGCTGCAGGCGGAGATGTTTCGGTTGAACTTGATTAAGGATGGCAATAAAATCATGCAAGGATTGTAAGCTTGTGGTATAGTCATTTGTCTTATTATTTGTCTTATCCAGGAGTGCCTGTGCTGCAAACACTGGATGGAGACCGGTGGGAATCATGAGATTGTGTAAGAACACCAGTAGCATGACAGTCTCAAACAGTTTGGTAGTGGGGGAGGCCCAGGGCAGGGGCCAAGGTGATAGTACATAGCAAGGCACAGAAGCTGGAGAAGGCTTCAGGAGACAGAGAAAAAGTTCAGTCTTTGAATAAAAGGTACAGGCTTTAGGACATCATTCAGGTAAAGACCTCAGGTATCCAGGTTCTGCAGTAGTAAATGAGGATCAAAAAGACATGGGGGGGCTTGTACAAATAGCTGTGATTCTCCACACTCTGTCCTGGGTGAGGTGACGGGTGCCATGGGAAAGACAATGTCCCAAGAAGACAACTGAGGGCCGGCACCATGGTAGCATCCTTTTGGAGGCTTTGCATCCTTATGCAGCAAGGTAGTAGAGCGAGACAGGAGCATGTGGGGATTAAGCACAATGAGAGTTTCCAGGACAGTAGGATTATTAACAGTCTTGTATGTTAATGGCTCACCCTGCACAGAATTCTTCATGACAAGGAACAGTGGGGTATTGCAGAAAGCGTCACAGGGGACCAGGGGACCATTTGACATCAGAACTTCACCCCGTTTGAAAATAGCAAGAGCTTGGGCAGGCTTCGGAGAATATTGTGGCTTAAGGGGCAGGCTGGCCCCTGGGAGCAACTTTACTAGAACGGGGAGAGAAACATGGAGTTGTCCAAACTCTTCAGGACCTTTAGAATTCTGGCAAAGACATTGGGGGAACTGTCTAGGACCTTTGCATCCTGGCCAGGTTTTCTCCATGTGGAGCAGAGAGCGGACGTATCGGCAGCAGAGAGTGGTGCAGACATTGAATCTGGCTATCAGGCACAAAGGTGATAGAGGCCTGCAACCGGTGGAAAGACATCTGCACCTAGGACATTGATTAGACAGGTAGAGGAAACAACAAAGCAGGTCTCAGTTAGCAAGGCAGTTAGCGAGTGCCATCTACACCTATGTAGGAGACAACAATAATGGATAAAAAAGAGGAGTCAGGTAGGATTCTCCTCCACTATGAAGGCCGCAGATAGCCTTTGGGTATGTGCCATGTAATACACTAAATCCCAAGTCAGAGAAATTTTTTGCACAACCTGGAGTGATTCTTACCTTTTCACCTGTTCGCAATCGGTGAACTGAGTATACTTTTTGAAAGTTAACATGAATAACACCTGGAAGGGTAAATCCATAATACTCTTTTACCTTCCATTTAATGACCTCAGCTGTGGCATGTTTATAATTATAAATAGAGGTTTTTGAGGTAAGAGAAGGAAAGTTGCAGCCTGTCTTTCAGTAAAACATTAACTGCTGAAGTACTTAACTTATATTAATAAGATTATCTCAATCACACCACTCAATTTAACACCACACCACGCGATTTAAACGAATAACCAGCAGTGTCTGAGTTAATAAAACATTTTACACTTGCTTCAATGTTAAAACATTATTCATCATTAGTGATGTCGCGAACCCGAAATTTTCGGTTTGCAAATGGCGAACGCGAACTTCCGCAAATGTTCGCGAACTGGGCGAACCGCCATAGACTTCAATGGGCAGGCGAATTTTAAAACACACAGGGACTCTTTCTGGCCACAATAGTGATGGAAAAGTTGTTTCAAGGGGACTAACACCTGGAATGTGGCATGCCGGAGGGGGATCCATGGCAAAACTCCCATGGAAAATTACACAGTTGATACAGAGTCTGGTTTTAATCCATAAAGGCAGAAATCACCTAACATTCCTAAATCACAATCAATATGGATTGACACCTGACATATGACATATTGACACCTTGACATATGGATTGACACCTGTCCTCAGAGCCCCTGATGCACACGGACACAGAGCAGAATAGAGACTGGTCCCCCTACATAGGGTCACTTGGCAGATATGGATTGGCACCTGTCCTCAGAGATCATGATACACACTGACACAGAGCAGAATAGAGACTGTTCCTCCTACATAGGGTCACTTGGCAGATATGGATTGACACCTGTCCTCAGAGCCCCTGATACACACTGACACGGAGCAGAATAGAGACTGTTCCTCCTACATAGGGTCACTTGGCAGATATGGATTGACACCTGTCCTCAGAGATCATGATACACACTGACACAGAGCAGAATAGGGAATATTCACTAAATGCCAAACATTGTTATACAGGGAATATTCAGTAAATAAGGATAAGGGGGGACCTACTGTCCTCCCCCCTGGCCCCCACCCCTGCACGGTGGGTGGGGGCCATAAATCTCAATGGGGGGGACCTACTGTCCTCCAGCCCGCCCCCACCCGTGAGCAGTGGGTGGGGGCCATAAAAATAATGAGGGGGGGGACCTACTGTATGATGTTGTATCGATCAGGTAGTGTAAGGGTTACGGGAAAATAAGGTCCAAATATGGACCTTAATATAAGAGTATAAAATGTGGCTAAAGGAAAAAACCCTCAATTGAAAGAAGGGCTCCACTAAAAAGACCCTTTAAATGCAATAAAAAATGAAATATCAGATAAAATCCAATAAATTTCCAGGAGTGGTATTCCTTTCAATTGGCAATATGTTAGACAGATAATGAGTAACTTCTAAAAGACAGTGATAATACAGTCTAATAAAAATTGTGCAAATGTATACCTTTAACTGGTTGCCATGTAATAATCAAAAAGCAAGATGATATTTCTGAATCAAGTAGAAAACATGTATAACTTGGCGATATAAAAATGTCTCTATATGGATACAATAGTCTCTTTTTGAATGACACAACAGTCTGTAATATGTGAGCTGTTACAGCTATTTCCAGTTATAATAGAACTGGAGTGTTTTGCTGAATAAGCTGAATTAATATAGTACAGAATTATATATGTTGGCAAGTTCTGCAGTATAATTTATGATAAGATGTACTTGGTATATAACTTAGTATAGTAACTAACAGATCATAGTTGATGGTCTGTAGTTTAGTAGATAAGTTCCCTTTTTTCACAGAACGTGAATCGAAATTCAAAGTGCTGAGTGCATTAAAATCCATTTATTAAATCGAATAAAAGAGAAAAAGAATATGCACTTACAATGTTGCAAAGAATTTATGGTGCTAAACTGGAATCTGGAGAGTCCGGCGTTTGCAGCTTGATCTTTTTGGTCTGCCGGCAGATAAATGGACCTGTTGATAGCCGCGTGCGTGTCACCGATCTCCCTGCGTTCCAAGTGAAGCCCGGTCTTCTTTGCGATGCGTGCCAAAAAGTGATAAAGTCCTAGGAAATATCATCTTGCTTTTTGATTATTACATGGCAACCAGTTATAGGTATACATTTGCACAATTTTTATTAGACTATATTATCACTGTCTTTTAGAAGTTACTCATTATCTGTCTAACCTATTGCCAATTTAAAGGAATACCACTCCTGGAAATTTATTGGATTTTATCTGATATTTAATTTTTAGTGTAAGGGTTACGCCCGCTTCACAGTGACAGACCAAACTCCCCGTTTAACGCACCGCAAACAGTCCATTTGCACAACCGCAAACTCCCCATTTGCACAAGGTTGGATACCAAGCTAGCCATGTCCCGTTCCTTGTCCTCACTGATGTCATTGAAGGTCTCTTCCTTCACCCAGCCACGTACAACACCAAGGGTCCCCGAAAGGTGACAACAAGCCCCCTGGGACGCCTGCTGTGTTTGGTCTTCCACCTCCTCAAAGCCACCTTCATCCTCTGACTCCTCTTCTTCAGACTCCTCTCTCTGCGTTATTATAAGGTGTGTTAAGTAGTATTATTCCTATCAGTTTAATCCCTGTTATGTCCCCTATCAGGGGACGTGTATATGGCATCGATTTTAGGAACCGGGAGATGGAAAAAGATGCTTGGTCGGTCCTCCTACTTCAAATTTGGGGCACTGCGCGTGCAATCTAATGTGCCACCAGATAGGAGTGGTGTGTTAATTAGTACTATTCTTATCAGTTTAATCCCTGTTACGTCCCCTATCCGTTGATGTGGAGCAAGACGCAGCAGCAGAAGAGGACTCAGCCAAGGAGGTTATGGAAGAGGATGGAGTAGGAGGAGTAGAGGAGGTGGCAGCAGGCCTGCCTGCAAGTTGTGGCGGTGTCACCAACTCCTCTGCAGAGCCACGCATTCCATGCTTGGCAGCCGTCAGAAGGTTTACCCAATGTGCAGTGTAGGGGTGGCCTGCCTCTGCCTGTCATATTTTTTTAGATTAGTGGTACTATGCGTGCAAGCTACTGTGACACCAGATATGAGTGGCACTGTGAACTGGCAGAGGTTGGCAGAGTACACGCTGTAGGGCTGACACACCCGCTTTGAGACAACTAACTGCTATTCAATCTATAACAGTGAAAAAAGATTTTTGGTTTTAAATGCAAGCTATTGTGACACCAGTGAGTGAGTGGTGGCACTGGGCACAATATCCACTGTGAGCCTGACACACCCGCTTTGAGACAACTATCTGCTATTCAATCTATAACAGTGAAAAAAGTTTTTTGTTTTTAAATGCAAGCTATTGTGACACCAGTGAGTGAGTGGTGGCACTGACTGGGCAAATGGGCACAGTATCCACTGTGAGCCTGACACAGAAGCTGGCAGCAGTGGCAGACAACTAACTGCTATTCAATCTATAACGGTGAAAAAAGTTTTTGGTTTTTAAATGCAAGCTATTGTGACACCAGTGAGTGAGTGGTGGCACTGGGCACAGTATCCACTGTGAGCCTGACACAGAAGCTGGCATGCAGGCAACTGCAATTACATTACAGCAGAGATCAAATGAGTCCTTCAGGACTGTAGTGGACACTGTATACCCTAACCTAGCTATGCATTTCCCTATCTAATCAACAGCAGCTACACTTTCTCTCCTCTCACTAAGCATGCAGCTTGAGAATGAATCTAAAATGGATGCTGTCCAGTAGGTGGGAGGGTCTGCTAGGGAGGGTGTGCTGCTAATTGGCTGGAATGTGTCTGCTGACTGTGAGGTACAGGGTCAAAGTTTACTCAATGATGACGAATAGGGGGCGTATCGAACCGCGCATATGTTCGCCCGCTGTGGCGAACGCGAACATGCTATGTTCGCCAGGAACTATTCACCAGCGAACCGTTCAGTGCATCACTATTCTTCATTAAAGTTGTTACTGTAAATACACAATTTTTAACTATCATGATACAATTATGTAAATATACGTGGTTAAAATCAGATAATCTGGCCACTACGTAGATTTAATCTTTAAGTAATTGTTCAGTAGATGTTAAGTGAACCTGCATCGTTTAGTTTTAACATCTTACAGCAAGATACAGGCATTAATAGGCATTCATCTGGAGAAGCTACTGGTATGCTCTTATACATATTTCTAACAGATATCGTTTATAGGCCAGACCGCAGCTGCATATGGCATTGCAGCAATATTTTGCAGTTATATTTCTGATATTTACAAAGTCTAACCATCTTTGTAATATACACATATTTATATATACCATGATTTAAAGTAACTGTATTATATTACATATTATTTCTGATACATTTCTGAAATAGGGAAACAAATAGCATGATTGCTTTAGTAATTATAATTTTACTGTCCATGCAATTTACTATCCATAATATGCAGAGTTTAAGGAAAGCAGCATGTCACCAAATCGGACGAGCATAACAGGGGTAGGCCTCATGATGGAGGCAGCCATGACAGGGGTGGGGAGGGAAATAATGGCAGGGAAGTGATGGCAGGGGAGGAAGTGATGGCCATGACATATGTTGTAAAGGAAGAGACACGAGGTGAGGGCTTAGCAAGAGCGGAAGTTACGTTAGGAGTAGGCGTGGCTATAGATAGTGGTAATTGGGTGGAGGTCACAGGGGCTGGGCAAACCTTCCCTTTGTGAGATGCTCAATTTTGGACATTAAATAAGACAGTTGAGAACATTAAGTATTTAACAGCCCATAAGCTGCACATAGCAAAACAATTCTTTTCTACATCTAAGCTTGTAAAACCCATATAAACAACAATCCATATGCCCCATTATTACTTCCAATGCTCTCGCGAATCATACAAGCGCCACATACACCAATATACAAATCGAATAAACGTGATATGTCTCACAAAATGCAACCAACCTCTCCTACTATTCTATATTCAACATTGCTTAATATTCCAACAAAACCTAATTTGCCTTTACTCTTCCCTTACTGCAATATACTAATAACTTCTGTATAACATATCACTCCGTAATTACTATCAGCCTCTATCCTTCATCCCCAAACATTCACCGTCAGCTACCCATGCCATCAACCGTTTAACTCCTATGTTGCCCCAGCATTTCACAATATGTATTCCAACTCCTTCTAACCCTATACACCGCCCTCAAACATTACACATGCATAAAAAACAGGTTACATAAAGCAACATCATATAAACAGTAGCTCTGAGAAGTAATCAGTACAGAAAGGCACTTGATAATAAGTGAGAGCCAAACACAGGATAATATAAACACTTTACACAGTCAAATCCTTAGGTTGTTGTCCAGCGATAATAACAATCATGTAACTTTCAGCAGCAGCTCGATATTAAAATTAACTTTGTATGGCTGAGCGACCACTCCCACATTCCTCACTGCTGCAAGGGTGGGAGGGAGGGGGACAAAAGGAAACAGGCAGAGACAGGAGGAGAATGATCCGCAGCGGTAGAAATTAACCTTGTGAGTCCCTGGAAGTATTTTAAAGTGACAGAAACTTGCACATTACATATATTGCAGACAAAGAGACATATACATATATATGTATAGGCGGCTCATAATACAAATACAAATACAAAGTGAAAGTGGAAATGCTAATTAAGAAGACATTTACAAGAATCACAATTATAGATGTGTACTTAATCTGGAATCAAGAATGAGCCACACAACGCACATACATGTAACTAAAGTACACAACTAAACCCACAGCTAAATAAAAACCACAATGCAATAAGGAATAACAATATATCAAACATAACAGCAATAAACCAGCAAAACCCTGTTTATCACCAAACAGTATAGCAAATAACAAATGCGTTTCCCTGCCTCTCTCGGGCGCTTAGCGAATTACAATAAAACCAGCAGTTACTACTAGCTAGGTAGTCTAGCAAATTACAATAAAACTGCAGTCCCTACCAGCTAGGTAGTCTGGCAAATACCAATAAAACTGCGGTCCCTACCCTCTAGGTTGTTAAGCTAACAATATATTGTTACAGCTCCCCCCGGTATGCGAGGGGTTACAGCCGTATGAGATGCTCCCTTACCGAATGCGGAGGCAGCCCTGAGGGTTACAAAGCACTGAACAGTAGCTGTACGGATGAAGCCGTTCCCCAGTAACCGAACAGCAGGTATACGAATACAATATTCTTCCAAACAGCCGAACACGCTTACTCCATACGAATAATCCCCCCAAAGACGAGACACAGCTCCGTATTGAGGGTCAGCAGGAGTCTGTTTAATGAGGGCTACATGCCCTGCTTGTATGCAAGTCCCTCACCCGGTGGACACTCCCCTCGGGGACTGAATGGGGGACTGTGACAAGGACAATGCATTAGCCAATTATAGAAGACACAATAAGCCATTCCTCTTTTCTTGCCCAGAACCCCCTGCTCTGCCCGGGATGATAATTGTGAAGTAATTAAATTATCTCACAGGACAGAGCCTAAACACCATTTTGAGGACTAATAACACAAGTACATAAAAATACATAAAATTATATAACTGTTGCATTTTACACGCTTTTATAGACATTCCACAGGTCCCCAGATAGCTGGGATCTGAGCGCACCAAAGTACCGAATAGCGCTCAGATCCTATACACACAGTCCAATCGCCGTGGAGCCAAAGTGTTCACACTGTCAGTTTCATACGAATGGGCTCCACGGGATTCCTATCTGGGGTATGGTGTATTCTGTTAAATCCACCGAATATAGAGTCATTCGTGCCAATCTACCGAACAAGAAGGGAGGTCGGCGGCTTCAGCGGTGTTCGTGCCAAAATGTGTCCGTTTTTAGTTCCATGAGTTAGGCGCCGAACACCACTGTGCGTTCGTGTGTTTTAAAATGGCCGCGACCTCGTGTTCGACATTCGAATGGTGGCCACCCAACTGCTGTATCAATTACGAGGTGTCTGCGGTTAATCCTCAATGTTCGAATGGGGCCAAGAGGTTAATCAGCAGCACACTCCTCTACTGGGTGGCCGGCCGTTCGGTAGTTTTGTTCGGTTATAAACAGGGGAATGCCATAGAGTCCACAGGAATGAGAAAAAACGAATTACATAAACGAACAAGCCATACGGTTATTTTAGTCTAAGACTGTCACATATATGATAATAATACAATTCCCTGTCTCTCTAGACAGTCAAGCGAATAACCATAAACACTGCGGTCCCTGTCTTTCTCTAGACAATAACAACAAAATAATGCAATAAATCTGACTGAATACCCAAACAAACTCTTCCACACTCAAAACTCACACTCAGGAGGCAGATAGACAATCAACAGGTTCTTATAAAGAGACACCGGGCAGAATTTTACCTGTTCTTTGATGCTCTGCGACGGCTGGAGCAGACACAGAGGCAAACCAACCATAAAGATAGGAATACCGGCAAATTGCCAAATAGCAGTTATTTCCCGTATTCAAACAAAGAGGTGATCAGGCTCCCGTTTCTGTCTCCAGAGGTGCTCCCGGTCTAGTGCCCGGCCGGCACAAGCATAGCCCGGTGCCCCACGTTCTGGGCTCCAAATTGTTGTGGATCAAATCAAGTGTTTCATAAACTGCCCCTTTCCAAATTGGTTATGGTGCGTGCACGCTTCCAGAAGTAATTTCACACCAGACACAAGTTTCCAGGTTGATGAAATACTCAGGAATGTTTAATCAGGGGTCGGGCAGCCACTTATAAAGCAGAAATACATCATATACATAACAGAGAAGAATACATTAATAATTGGTTAGGTGTTGGGTGATACATTCAATGTACGTCCCACTGGGTGTGATATTGCTGTTATCATAAAATACTCCCCCAGATTCCAGCGCCATCTTGTTACACGAGGCAGCTAGTCGATGGGTGGGGTACTCCTGAGTGACATCTAGTGGCCATTTTAATAAATTATTGAATAATTCTGATTATGTTTATGCAAAGTAAATAGGCATTTTATTTAGCTAATATTCTGTCCACAACAGCCAAGGATCAGAGCGTGTGACTAAACACTTCTCCCATCAAAAGAATACAAGAGAAAGGAGACAAACAGGACACAACTTTACATTTATTACAAACAAACAAGCATACAAACCAGAAGCCCAAAACACAGATGCAATCAAACCACCAACCCCTTAACCAAGATATACCCGGAATAATATAACTGCCCTCCGCAATGCCGCGCTCTTAAGGCGCTACCGCTACTAATAAAACCTGCTGCACACCCACTATGTTACAGCTAACAATATCACAGAAAATACAATGCAAATCACAGACCCCCCTCAATAATTAAAATGCAACCCCAGCCGTGCAAATACGGCGCTTACAGCGGTAAAGCTAAATATCCTGTGAAATTCCTTCCCCTTATGCAAAATACATTCAGGCAGATACTTTACATATATTGCAAACATGAACCCAAACAGCATATATGGTTAACACATTTACTCTTCCCTTAATCCTTCTCTGTCCCCGTACTCACTAATCCCCGTACTGCCACTTGCTATACCGCACACAGCACCACAGAAACCCCCCCTCTACATTGCTGTTTGCTACACCGCACACATCTGCAGAGAAACCCCTTCTCCTGTACAGTTGCTTAATCTATACCGCACACAGCTGTTACAGCCCCTTCTGCAAAGCAGCTTGCTCGATACCGCACACAGCTACTGCAGGAGATTGTCCCCCTCTGCAAAGCTGTCTGCTAGACCGCACACAACTTGTTACAGGAGTTCCTCCCCTCCCCCACAATTTTGGGGCCCCTGACAAAGCACAAGGTCTGGGCCGGCCCGCCCACAAGTCCACCCACAAGACCTAGTCCGCTGCAAATGATGCAGGACTCAATGTGGTGTGTATAGTGGAAGTGAATTAGAATGTGTGTAATGATGTAGAGTTTGTGTGTATTAGATACTGTTTGTGTAGCGGATGCAGTGTGTATAGTGAACGCAGAGTGTGTTTGAGTAGTGCATGTAGTGTGTTTGAGTATTGGATGTAGTGTGTTTGAGTAGTGGATGTAGTGTGTTTGTGTTTGTGTAGTGGATGTAGTGTTTGTGTGTACTAGATGCAATGTGTTTAGTGGATGCAGTGTCTGTAGTGGATGTAGTGTGTGAACTGTGAATATAGGATGTTTGTGTAGTGGATGCTGTGTGTATAGTTAATGCAGAGTGTGTGTCAGTGTAATGAATGCAGAGTGTGTGTGTCAGTGTAATGAATGCAGAGTGTGTGTGTCAGTGTAATGAATGCAGTGTGTGTGTCAGTGTAGTGAATGCAGTGTGTGTGTCAGTGTAGTGAATGCAGAGTGTGTGTCAGTGTAGTGAATGCAGAGTGTGTGTCAGTGTAGTGAATGCAGAGTGTGTATGTCAGTGTAGTGAATGCAGAGTGTGTATGTCAGTGTAGTGAATGCAGAGTGTGTTTTAGTGTAGTGAATGCAGTGTGTGTGTGTGTCAGTGTAGTGAATGCATGTAGTGTAAATGGAGCATTCCAAAAATGTTATTTCCCCCCCCCCCTCCCTGGATCTTACCTGGTTCAGGGAGGGGGGAGATTCCATGATCCCTAGTGGTCCGGTGGCATTGTGGGGCCCCCCGGCTCCCTATACTTGTAGAGGGGGCCCAGCGGACTGCAAGTGTACTTACAAGCTCTTCCCTCTCTGCGTGCTGCGCGGAACATTGCCATGGTAACCTGTGGCAATGCTCTGACGGCCGTGGGTCTCGCGGGAGTTAGAGAGGAAAGAGCTTGTTAGTACACTTGCAGTCCGCTGGGCCCCCTCTGCGAGTATAGGGAGTCGGGGGGGGGGGGCCCGCGGCTATATATATATATATATATATATATATATATATATGTGTGTGTGTGCAGAGAGGCAATGTGGGGCCAGGGACTGCCAAAACGGTCATTATGGTTGTCACCCCCTGATGGCAACCCTGTCCTCTCCCCTGGGGTGGCTGCCGGCGTGGGTTCCCCCCTCCGCAGCCTGTCTTCCTTGTGGCCCCTGCTTCTGGGGGCTGCGATGGTGCCGGCCGGCATACCCACCGCTGGCTCAGCTGCCCCCCCCCCGGTGCTGCCCCTCGGGCCCAGTTGAGGAGGTGGAGCCTCCTCCTGCAGCTTCATCACGGGCTGCGGCCTCCGGCATTGGGATTCGTGCCGGAGGCTGTAGGAGGCGGGTGGCACGTCCCGCGACTTGTGTGGCCATCCAGCGGCCTTCCAAAACTGCCGCGGTGAGTGGGCCTGGCGGGGCCGAGAGGGGACTAATCTAATGCCGTTAGGGGTGGGGGGGGGACCTCTCATGCAGTGAGCATGGCGCCCAGGGGGGGTCTCTCTTTTTGCACCCCCCCTTTCAGTTTTCTTCCCTCTATTTCTCCGGTTCTGGTCCCGGGCCCCCCCCTTTTGCTTTCTGGGGGGGGCCCTCCACTCCTCCCCTGGTGTCCTTCTGTTGTTCCTTCTGTTCCTGACGGTCCCTCTGTTCTCCCCCCCCTTTTCCCTTCTCTATGTTCTCTTCCCCGTTCAACACAGTAAAGGAGGAGACTATATTTAAAAGAAGAAAAACTACCACAACAAGAGGACATAGTCTTAAATTAGAGGGACTAAGGTTTAAAAATAATATCAGGAAGTATTACTTTACTGAGAGGGTAGTGGATGCATGGAATAGCCTTCCAGCTGAAGTGGTAGAAGTTAACACAGTAAAGGAGTTTAAGCATGCGTGGGATAGGCATAAGGCTATCCTAACTATAAGATAAGGCTATTGACTAATGAAAGTATTTAGAAAATTGGGCAGACTAGATGGGCCGAATGGTTCTTATCTGCCGTCACATTCTATGTTTCTATGTTTTCCCCTCTCTCTGTTCCTCTCCTCTGTGTCCTCCCTCCTTTCCTTTCCTCCCCGGCTCTTACCTGTTCCTGTCCCTCCTGAGTCTTCTCTGCCTTCTGTTCTTCTCTCTGCTTGTTACTTACCTCGGCTGCCTCCTGGTGGAGCTCACATCCTCTCCATGACCTTCTCAACGATCCTGGCTGCAGAAATGCCCTTTGGAAGAACACAGTGGAAGCTGATTTCAGTGTCTTCTGCTTGGACTTCTACGCTTGTTATGCCGCGGGCGGTGCACTGGGCATTGGCTGGTGAGTACATTGTCCCTTCTTTTATCCAGTCGGGATTCCTTTAGATTTGGGGGGGTCAAAAAAGAGGAAGAAAGAAAAAATCTGAATAAATTAATAAAATGAGAAATATAAAAATTCAGAAATTCAAAAAATAAAATAAAAAAATATAATGAAAATATATCTGAATGAATACATGAATAAAATGAGAAATAAAAGATTCACAATTTAAAAAAAAAAAAAAAGATAACCCCCCCCACTCCTCGTTATCAGTATTTATCATATGTTATAGTACAGTTTCCTGCAGCGTCCTGCGCAGCTAATAGCGCTGGTGTTGCCTCCCAGGAGGTGGGCGGTTAAGGTGGCTCAGGACGCTGCTGCGGGGTGCTAGTATGGCCCGCTTGTCTTGCGCATGTCGCGCAATACTAGGGCCCAGTGGTGAAGGTGTTTTATTAGAGATATGTTCCCTCATGCCGCGGGGGCCCCTTGCTTGAGAGGGATGGTAGGGACTCCGGGAAGGACCCAGGAGGGGCGTGGGGAAAAATACTGTTATCAGTTACACCCCATGATGCGCGGGAATTGTGTCAGGGCGTTGTATGTTCTGGATAGCATTGTCGGGGAGAGGGCTCCCCGGGAATGCTCCACGTTGTTCTGCTGTCAGGCCACTCTCTGGGACCTGTGCCATCCCTAGGGTGAGCTGGGTTGGTGGAGGTATGTCTTGCAATTTCGTCAACAGATGGTGTTTGGGAATTCACAGATGGTCACGGTAAATGGGGTCCTCGTGCCGTTCCAGCACGAGGGCTCCAGTTGCAGGGGGGCCCATCCCGTCTCCTGCGGTTTTCATGCAGGCAAACTGTCGGGATAGGGGTCGTGGATGCTCTCCGAGCAGGACCTTTCGGTCCATATGAGACTTCCATCAGGTGGTGCGGGAGCAGCTTACCAAGAAAGCTTGGAAAGGGCAGTTTAATATAATCCTGTCAGATATAGGGCTCAATTTGAAATTCTGGTTCTTGCTTTCAGATCTCTACAAAATGCTGCTCCCACCTATCTATCCTCCCTGATACACAAGTATGTCCTGTCTAGGCCCTTACGCTCTGCTGAAGACTTCTATCTTCTATCTTCTGTCCGTACTCCCACCTCTGATGCTCGCCTTCAAGACTTCTCGAGGGCTGCACCGTTCCTGTTGAACTCACTTCTCTCCTCTGTTAGATGCATACCCAGTCTCCACTCCTTCAAAAAAATAATTAAAAACCCACTTCTTCATAAAAGCGTATCAATTAAACTGTTAATAGCTCCCGACTGATTCTTCTCTTGCAACTGTTGTTAGTCTAATACTGTCCTTACTTTTTGTGTCACTTTACCCCACTCCCTCTAGCATGTAAACTCCTTGAGCAGGGCCCGCAACTCCTCTGTTCCTGTGTGTCCAACTTGTCTGGTTACAACTACAGGTTTGTTTGTCCACCTACTGTAAAGCGCTGCGGAATTTGTTGGCGCTATATAAATAATAACATAATAATTTCATGGAAGGCACCCTGGAGTGGGAAACAACATTCCTGTGTATAAATAGCTGTGTTGTGAGCAATAAATATTAATTCTCTACATTCGGTCTTGACCAATGTGTGGGAGGAAAGTTATAATAGTGTGTTATAGTAGAGACAGTATCCAAAGCTGTAACCACTTCAAAGAGCTATAACCACTGCCCTATCCAGGTTTCCCCAGTACAGCTACAGTGACAGGGTCTGAAGGGCTTCAGAATCCACTGGTGACAGGGAGGAATCCAACTTAATGGATTAAGTCAGCTGGAGTACATAAGCTCTATTGCAGTTGTTACTGAAATATTGCAATTTCAAGAATAAATATCATCCTCTGTATCTGTACAAATTTGTTCCAGCAGGACTCTACTGATGTATATGTATTCTGGTGTGTGGTATGTGCTCCTTTCTCTACTTTCCTCCCTCTGTTTCCTCCACTCATTCTCTTACTCCCCCCCTACTTCCCTCATCTCTCCTCTCCCTCTACTCCTCTTTGTAAATACAAGCTAAGGCTTTTAACTATGAAATAGAATTTACAACCAACATAAAATAAAAATATTGTATATAAAATAAAATATATTCTTTGGCAAATACTAAATGTAACGCATGTTAAATATAATTTTGGTGTTATACAACTATGCAAATATACATATCATAATGGCGTAAAATAATTATATGTTATTCAGAATTAAACAGGAACAATATTTTTGCTTTTACTACGTACATGTTGTGACAAGAGACTATAATGTTCTTTAAAACTCAATTTGGTTCTCATGAATGTAAAATAAAGAGACAGAAAAGAATTAGGTTACCTCACTAAGCTTCATCTATATCGTGAGTATTTATAGTAACAATGGGGTCAGAAGCTAAGTAGCATTAGCACTGCAAGCTTACATTAATCATCTATTTTAAAGGTTGTTTGGCAGTTAAATTCATAGCACTAGGATTTAATGAAAATGAAATAAATTTGGTTGTTAGAGATATTACAATATGACAGTAATATTTACAGCCTGATCATATATTGTAACAAAATCCCTTTTACCTGGGTTAGGTGTTTTTAAAAGAAGACAAGGGCATTCCTTAAAGCATTGTAATTGTCATTTAGTGAATGGGTGAGGTCACTGGATGTTGTATCTTGTATGAATTTGTCCCAGCAGCTCCCTTATAATATATGCTGTTCAGATGAATGTAGCCGGTTTGGAGAGAGATATTATATTATATATAGATATAGATATATATATATATATATTTACAATACAATGTTAAAGGACCACTATAGTGCCAGGAAAACATACTCTTTTTCCTGGCACTATAGTGCCCTGAGGGTGCCCCCTCCCGCCCGGCTCTGGAAGGGGGAAAGGGGTAAAAACGTACCTTTTTCCAGCGCTGGGCGGGGAGCTCTCCTCCTCCGATCCTCCTCTTCTCCTCCCCGTCGGCTGAATGCGCACGCGCGGCAAGAGCTGCGCGCGCATTCAGCCGGTCACATAGGAAAGCATTCATAATGCTTTCCTATGGACGCTGGCGTGCTCTCACTGTGAAAATCACAGTGAGAAGCACGCAAGCGCCTCTAGTGGCTGTCAATGAGACAGCCACTAGAGGAAATAGGGGAAGGCTTAACCCATTGATAAACATAGCAGTTTCTCTGAAACTGCTATGTTTATGAAAAAATGGGTTAACCCTAGCTGGACCTGGCACCCAGACCACTTCATTAAGCTGAAGTGGTCTGGGTGCCTAGAGTGGTCCTTTAAACAAAAATCTGCACAACAGTCAACACATAAAATTTGCTTTTCCCAGAAATCCAAAATCTGCAGTGATGTTACAACCGCAAAGTATTTCTGTGGGAAAACAGAATACTTTGTGGTTGTAACATCACTGCAGATTTGGGATTTCTGTGGGAAAAGCAAGTCTTATGGCTTGACTGGTGTGCATATTTTTGTTTAACATTGTATTAACTATCTACAGACTTCAGGTGGAAGGGGTTTTCAATCACAATTCTTCCCCACCATAACCTATTTGGATATATAGATAGATATAATTTTGTAATCCTTGTTTGCAGATAGCACGGTCCTCTAGGGTAAACAACAGGCACAGTCCTTTTGTTTTCATATAATCCAGGCACTTTATTTGTAAGTCCACACAGGAGACAGCAGCAAATGAAAACATAAATATAACACAAATCCCTATAAACAAAAACCTAGCTCGTCTGAGCTCTTACTAACATCAGGTTCCCTATCTCTCAAAAACTAGTACAAAACAATATTGGTTTCACCAACTTAGTGTCTTTGTCAGCTCTCTGCACTCCAGTGCTTAGTCAGCCTGTTGCTTTCCTTTCTACACTTCCAGTGCTCCAAGCCAGCCTTAACTGCTTTCCTTTCTGCACTCCCAGTGCTCCAAGCCAGCCTTAACTGCTTTCCTTTCTACACTCCCAGTGCTCCAAGCCAGCCTTGACTGCTTCCTTCTGTGCTTCCAGTGCTCCAAGCCAGCCTTGACTGCCTCCCTTTTGCACTCCCAGTGCTCAGTCTCCTTGACTCTCTCACTGGAGAGAACAGCCTCTCGCCTACCTGCTTCCAAGGAGGAAGCCAGCAATCTCCCTTTACCTGCCTAGCAGGGAGGAGTTTATTCCCACTGCTACAGCTGATTATCTGCAGCTGAGCAGTGGGTTGGAGGCAGTTCCAAAAAACTCTGGCCTGGACCTTATTTCTCCCAGTTGTGTATAAACTGAGGAGTGGAGCAATGGCCCACCCTGCTCTCCAAATGCTCCACCCCAAGGGCCCATAACTAAACATAGTTTTGTGTTGCATACCAAACATACAACACGTACTTCCCCTGGGGTTAAGTGTTAAAGGCCTCTCTGCCTTCACTTTATATATATATATATATATATATATATATATATATATATATATATATATATATATAATTTTATCCTGAGGAAGGTCCCTGGATAACTTTACATTTATCGAATACTATCCATTCGTATCACTGTGACGAGACCAATCTCGCCACATTGCATTGGAGAAGCCTGCTGCCTTTGGACTATGGCCCCCATGTTAAAAGACTTTGTTTCGCCTGCAGAAAAGCTGTATTCGTGCTTTTCTGCCGGTTGTTCGGTAGATTCAATCTACCGAACAACCGCACGAATGAATAGACCACCTGGGAGCTGGAGTGTGCTGGCAATTAACCTCCCTGAAGCTGAGGTTAACCGCAGCTTAATTGACAATTACTGGGTGGTCGCGGTTACACCTAGCCGCCACACGATGGTGGTGTTATGGAAGCTCCCCGGGTAGCCAGAGCTTGTTCTACCCAGCGGCAGGACACCAAAAGCGGACACTAAGACTTTTGTCTTACAAGCCCCACTGAGGCTGGAAGTCTGCAAACCCGTTCGGGAACTGAACAACGGAGCATTCAGGACTTTTAGTGCTGCAATTGTATTCGGTGTGCAAGTACCCAGATAGCCTGCCATGGAGCCTGTTCGTGGAATTAAAGACTTTGGCTCCATGGCGATTAAACTGTATTCGTGTGGTCTGAGCGCCATTCGCTTAATAATGTGCGCTCAGACCTAAGCTATCTGAGGATATGTTAAATGTACAGTTTTAATGTAATGTGTCTTACATTGTGTATTTTAACAGTAATGCTTGTTTTAGTATCCCCATGTGCATAATGGAGATTTGCCTTTGTCTTGGGAGATCATTGAATTACTTCTCAATTATCTCCCAGGGCAGAGGGGAGGAAGCCAGGATGCATTGTGGGAATATACTGTGACTGTGTGTCCTATTTGTCTGCTTGTCTGACCCTTGTCACAGTCTCCCATTTGGTCCCCTAGGGGAGTGTCCACCAGGTGGGAGACCTGCATAAATACTGGGCAGGTAGCCCTCATTAAACAGACCACTGCTTGACCCCCAACACGGAGCCTTGTCTCGTCTTTGGGGGGATTTACTGAATGCTGATAGAGACTGATTGTTAGGAGTGTAAGCCGCTTGGATGCTTTTCCTATTCGTCTGGTAGCAGCAATTCGTATGGTTCCTGTTCGTGTATTTGGAGTGCTATACTGGATGCCGTTCGGGAGTTTGGAGCATTCACTTATTGGCGGTTCGTGTGTTTTGTGTTCTGCAGTAGCTGTGCCTGCATCTCTGGAAAGGGGGCCGATCACCTAAACGGTTTTTATCCCTTGTGTGCAAAACGGTCCGTTACAATCACATATCCCCAGATAGCCTGGATCTGAGTGCATATTATTGGCGAATAGCGCTCAGGTCCCATACGCATAGTTCAATCGCCATGGAGTCAAAGTCTGTTACAGTTCTTCGGTATGCGATTGACTCCATGGGAAGGCTATCTGGGGTAAGTCCATTTGTGCATTTAAACCTCCTGTCGATTGAGAAGGGAGGTCGGCGGCTTCAGTGGTGTTCGGCTGAAAGTGTCCGTTTTCAGTTCCATGAAATCAATGCCGAACACCGCTGGTCTTTTGCATGGTTTAAAATGGCGCCGCCTCGTGGTCGACATACGAACGACGACCACCCTGTATTCGGTTTTAATTGAGAAGCGTCTGTGGTTAACCGCAACGTTCTAATTGGGATCAATAGTTTAACCAGCAGCACACTTCTCTTCTGGGTGGCCGTCCGTTCGGCAGTTTTGTTCGGCAGTTTTGTTCGGCAGAATTCACTTGAACAAAGGCCTACGAACGGGTAATTTCGTGAAACAGGCAAAACAGACGAATCCTAGTCCCAGTCTATACAGATGGATCTGTCACAATCCCCGTAGGACTGGCACCCAGCAAGTAAACTTATCATTTTTCATTTTTCTACATTTGAACATTGAGCATGAGTGCAAGGAACCCAATTAATATTATATATATATTACAATAAGTGAATTATGTTTTTTAAGCAATATAGCAATCATGATATTTGGGTTGCTGTATTTGTCCAGCAATGTAGATGCAAAACAATGAAATGAAAAAATTAAATACGTTAAATACTTATTTTATTGTACTAACAGAAATTAGTAATGATCAGCTTTTGAGAGCTCCTCCTTTTATCAAGTCTAAAGAATTTCTGATCAAACTGAAATAAGCAAGCTAATATAGCTGGAAAACAAATGGTAAAGAAAGGGTGTTGTAAATTTGCCATGGGATTTGAGGAATTGGGAAAAGAAAAAAAAAAGAGTTAAATGAAGAGATAGCAAGCTAAGCAGGGGAGAAGGCAAAAAAGGTAACTAGCAGAAACTAATACAGAAACCTATTTTTTATTAATCTATCTAAAATAACATACAAATATTTGACTTTACCTGTTTGGCTTACTTCCTCATTTCCAATTCTCTCCTTGACCCACTTCAAACTGGCTTCCGCCCCCTCTACTCTACTGAGATTGCTCTGATCCAAATGCAACTACTCTATACTAATTCTTCTTGACCTCTCTGCTGCCTTTGACACTGTTGATCAAGTCCTCCTTCTCCAAACTCTTCAATGCATCAGACTCTCCCATAGTATTCAGTCATTTAAGAAGTCCCTCAAACCCCATCTCTTCAGAAAAGTTTATTGCCTCCCTGAGTAACTTCTATTACACAAACCTATCTCTTGCTGTCTCCTAAAGAGCTATACTCTAATCTCACCGCCAGTTCTGCAACATTTACTCCGTGTGATTTGGTTGCTATCCCCCTTGATGCCATTCCTTTTGTGTTGTTATACACCACCTAATCTAGTCTGTAAGCTCATTTGAGCAAGGTCTTCATCAACCTATTGTTCCTGTAACATTTCGTAATTGTTTCATTTATTGTTAAATTATAATAATAATGATATTACACTGTGTCATGATTTTGTTTAACAATAAACCAAAATGGGGAAACCATGTGTGAAAAACAAAGTTTACCTGATGATTTAATAGCTTGTAGAACCACCTTTAGCAGCAATAGTTTGAAGTAATCATTTTCTGTATAACTATCAGTATCTCACATCATTGTGGAGTGAAATTGGTCAACTTTTCTTTACAATTTTCTTCATTTCATTGAGGTTTTCTGAATTTGTTTATGAACAACTCTATAAAGATACTGCCACAACATTTCAATTTGGTTGAGGTCTATACTAGCTGGTGTTTCAGGACCCAATTTCAGCTAGACTTTAGCTGTCATATAAATGGCCTTGTATTTGAATACATTGCTATACAGAGGTCAACTCAAAAACTGCAAGGTTCAAACAAGCCCAATTCACCACCCCCCCACCACAGAGCTTGACAGTTTGTATGAGATTATTGTGCTGATATGCTGTGTTTGGTTTTCACCAAACATGGCACTGTGCATGATAGCGAAACATCTCCACTTTAGTATTGTCTGTCCAGGGGACATTGTTCCAGAAATCTTGTGGTTTGCTCAGAGGCATCTTTGCAAAACCTAAGCAGTGCTGTCATGTTCTTTTTAGAGAGATGAGGCTTTCTCCTGTCAACCCTTCCAAACAAACCATACTTGTTCAGTCTTTTTCTAACTGTGTTGTCATGAACTTTAACATCTAACATGCTAACTGAGGCTAGTAAAGTCTTAAAGGTAACTTGTTTTTTTGTTTTTTTTTGCAATTTCCCTGTGCATTGCATGGTCTGACCCTTCTGAATTTTCTGGAACGTCTTAACCTGGTAAAATTGGCAATTGACAACTGTCTTTAATGATTTCCACTTTTGAATAATCTTTCATACTGTAGAATGATGGACTTTAAATTGTTTGGAAATGGCCTTACAAACCTTTCCAGTTTAATGTGCAGCATTTGTTGCTTATCTAAGATCATTGCTGATGTCTTCCCTCCTTGACATTGTGTTTACACACATGCTTACATTGCTACAACTTTGGCTTTTATAGAGATGGTCGCACTTGTTGATGATGTAATGAATCTGATGATCAATGATTATGATCAATTAAGGGCATTTGATTAGCAGCAACTGTCTGCTATTTAGCCTCTTAATTCCTCTTAATTAGGAGTGTGCTTAACATTCACACATGGCTTTGCCGTTTTGGCTCTATTTTTGTTAACTAAATCATGACATGGTGTAAGATGTCATGTGTTGTTGCTCATCTAAGGATATGTCCTTATATGTGAAAACTTAAGAATTAAAGAGGAGGTACTTTTTTTTTCCTATGACACACACACACACACACACACACACACACTCTCACTCTCTCTCTCTCTCTCTCTCTCTCTCTCTCTCTATATATATATATATATATATATATATATATATATATATATATATATATATATACATACACACACACACACACACTGCTGCTATTATTAATGTTTGTTTTTTTATATATATTTTTTTGTGTGCAATAAAATACACATGCATTTTTTTATTTTTATTTTTTTTTTTACATTACTGCTGACTCCTGGACGTACCATAGGTGTGGAGCAGTCAAGGTAGGTTTTAGCTCCCCGGCCTGAATCAGGGGAGGCACCTAATGCACAGAACTTCACATCTTCTTGTGAATATACATCTACAGTGCAAAGTTAATTTATATTTTGACATCCTTCACTATGTGCTATTTGTTTATCCCTATTTTAGATGCATAGCTAAATCCCAAATTTATTTCTATACATTTTGAGGTAAAGACAAGTCTTTCAAGAAGCTTTGAGGAAAAAGGGAACAGGGGTAGACGGAAGTTGGAAGGGGAAGATGGGTCAAGAGATGGCTTTTTTTAGGACAGGAATGACAGTACCATGTGTAAGGGGAGCAGTGACAATGCAACCTCAAAGATATTTTGGTCCCAAGCCACCTCACGACATCTCCCGCTAAATCGCGCAGGCTAAAGTCTCTGCATGCTGGTACTTACTAATGTGGGAGATGTAAAGTCTGCAAATATATAAGCAAAAAATCTACACAATTCTCAAATTCAACAAATACTGAGCTGTTCTCCACTGATACGTTTTTTAATTGTCAAACCACGGATATCGTTTACCTTTTGACATGTAGCTGTCACTAACTATACGTGGGGAAGATATGTCGTGCTTTTAAAAAACGCATACTTGAACATGTCAACTCAGCCAACTTCTCTAGACACATTGATACACCAATCTCCAGACATCTTAAATTATTTCATGAGGGCTCCCCGGAAGGTTTGAATTTGGGACCCAGAATAGGTGATATTGACCTATTACAGAGGCTATTACAAAGAGAGAGCTTTTGGATATATAAATTAAAAACTCTATTTCCATGAGGGCTTCTCTTATGCCTCGTTCATTTCTGAATAAGCTACTGTGACGGTTGTCCTCCTTCCCATAGCTGGAGAGCGCTGCAGAGCTCCAACCCGATATCCTGAGGAGCTAGTATAGCTGTATAATTGAAGAGAGCTCTTACAAGAGCTAGCAGTGATATAGCAGGTATAGCTGTTCCCTACAACACGAGATAAGGCTGTCTGTTTAATGAGTACAAAGGCATTTCTTTTATACACAATTTCAGGCCAGAGGCACACCCCCTGGACCTGATGGTACACAGGGACACAAACCAATGGGAACAATAATTTTATAGCATGACAGGAGGCTTCATATTCAGTGAACCGCCTCCCGTTTTGCTCCGACCACTGGTAGTCGCACTCTGTGGTCCCACGTGTTGCCCTCACACACAGCTTCTCCCGGCGCGAGAGCAAGAGCTACCCGTCCGCCTGCCGCCACCCCCACACCCTTACCGCTACGTTGTTTGTGGCCATGGGTAACGTGGGGTGGGGTGCCAGACGGGCCCGGCCATGTGGGAGCAGCTGCGTTTTTTGTTTACTTTCTCTGCTATCGCGTCTATTGCGTCATTTTTTCTGCCCCCTGGGGTTTGTAGGTGGGCTCTTCTCTTGGGCCCTGTGTATTTGAGAATATTTTCCTGTTAGCTGGTACTGCCCAGCTAGGTGTGTTATGAACTTTCTGCTACATTTGGGATCAGTGTGCCACTGTAAAGGATTTGTCCATAAAACCTCTCCAGTGGTCACCCCTCTTTTTTCTGTAAATTACTGTTTGGCTGTTTTATTTGCTCTGGCTGCAATTTTCATTTAATTCCTGCTGAACCTGCATTATTCCTGCATCGCTTTGCATGCTACAGTTTGGCCTGTCCGGCCTGTACCTCACTTCTGAGCCTGTCTTGCCTGCATACGTGAATTGGCCTGCTATGCCTGTGCCCCATTGATTTGCCTGCTTTGTCTGTGCCCCTTGATTTGGCCTGCGCGGTCTGTGCCATTTTTCTACCTATGCTTGACCTGTCAGGCCGTACTCTCGCTTGGACCCTGCATGCGCTACCTAACTTGCCGCTGATACTATTAGGGGTGATGCCTCGTTTACCCTGCCGGTGACACCTGTCCTCTCTACCCCCAGGTGTCACATCGCCCAGGTCTCTGTGATCATGGAACCATCTACACAGGAGCTGTCCCTGCAAGCAATGATCAACGCAGCAGTGGCCGCCTCTGTGGAGAAGATGGTAGACAACTCGGCTGAGTCAGACTCTCCTGGGAGAGAGCGGGCAAGTGCGCAGGGGCACTACTGGAAGGGTGAAGGCCCTGAACCACGCTCCCAGAAAGGCAAAGCTCTGGCGAAGTGCCATGCTCCATCAATGTCGGCCTCTCCGGCCAGGCACCGCCTCTTGTCAGGAGTGGGGGACGAGACTTCTACACACTCCTAGTCTATGGCTGTCCTGGATGAATGGCGGGCAGACTAGTACCCCTTCGAGGAGGAGGTTGAGTGGGACAAGGACTATTGAGATGACCTTAAAGGGCACCAGGAGATGGAGGATGCCCCGCGCCTGGGGCAACGTCTACGGCTTTGGACGAGGACATTTTCCTGGACGCCACGGGTGAATCCCTGTTCGACCCTCAGGCAATTTGACACCCCAGGCCCTCAGAATGGTCCCTCCCCGAACACTTAGCACAGTTCGTGCATTACTGGGTCTGCAGACCTCTGGAATGGGAGGTTCACAGAAAACTTTGGGCTGAATGTCCCAGACCGGTTCTGCTGGATAAGGTCGCCACAACCCCGGAATTTGACTCGCTGGTCTCCACGTACATGACCCGCACTGGGCGTGAGTCCAGCTGCTGGACAGGTGCAGGATGCTAATGCTAATGCTAGCAGACGAGGCCTTCACAGAGGGAGCTGCCCTGGACCTGGCCAACATACAGGACTGGGCTTTGTGCTCTATTTGCCTGCTGGGCAATACTAACGTGGCACTCTCCACGGATCTCAGGAAGGCGGTCCTTTTACGGATGGACAACAAATTGTCGGAGTTAGAGTCAAAAGAATTGGGCCTTCCGTTAGGGAACCGTTCATAAAGGAACTGCATAAGCATGTGAACCTGTTCACTTCCATGGACAAGGCCCAGACCTCCATGAAGAGGGTATTTCGCCCAAAGGCTTTGTAGATTTTTGGCAGGGCTGGACGACAGAGGGGTCGTGTCTGCAGCCGTTTCTGGTCTTCCAGACGCCAGAGATCCCATGGACCATCGTTCTTCCCCTCCTACCAGTTCTGGCCTTTCTACTCTCAGAGGTCAGATAGAGGTCGAGGAAATTGTGCTAGAGGACGTGCAAGATGCATGCATCTTCAAGTGAGCGCAACTGCTGCTGTTTCTCCCTTTCCCCTGTTGCATGCGGGCAGACTGTTTCACTGCAGGGACAGGTGGCGGGAGATGCATGGGTCCTTCGGACTGCTCGGGGATATGTCATAGATTTTCATTCCCCTCCGACCCAGGTTTGTCCTCCGCAAGTTCCCATTTTCTATGCAGGAGACCTTCCTACGACCAGATGATTTTCTCCAGACGTGAAGACCGTACTGCGCTGGTGGCTCCTGCACATGTCAGCCTTGAACGAAAGGTGATTTTCGGTCTGACTCCGGATTTCATGCTGGAGATGGATACAAGCCTTTGGGGTTGGGGTGCCACCTGTGCGACCAGCTCCACGAGGGGTCCGTGGTCTGAGAGGGAATTGGAGTTCCACATCAACTGCCTGGAACTGATTGCGGGGTCGTTTGCGATTCGGAGTCTGACAAACCACCTTTCGGATTGCTGCGTCCTCCTTCGGATGGACAATGTCTCGGCGGTGCAATACATAAACTGCTTGGGAGGTGCACATTCTCGGACACTCTTGGAGGTGATGAAGGAGATCTATAGCTTCTGCTTCCAACGCGAAATCACCCTCCAGACAATGGAGGGACACACACATTGCCTCACACACTGCCCCCCATACACACACTCTGCCCCCCCAAACACATACACATACACTCTACACACATACACTATCCCCATACACACACACTGTATGGACTCAG